TGTGTTCGATGGCTGAGCCAAAAGCTGCTGCTTGCTGCTGTGAGGATGTTGACAGCGAAGTTGTCGTGATGATGGTTTGTGGCTTCGTGACGGGTTGGGGTTGATGTCCTTTGTGCTCTTTTAGACAGACATTATTGAGGTCTGAATACGAAACTGTTTCGTAATAAAATGTGGTTTTAATGACCTTATTTATACGTTTAATATTTGACATCGTGTTTATGTATGTACGTGTTTGTCTGCTGGTTGAGTCGCCTTTGAATAAGGGGTCCTGCAGCTTAATGAGTCATTTACTCAGATAATCAACTTCTGATTATTACGAATCGGTGTGTGTGTGTGTGAAATGGATGGGCACGTGACCAATGAGATGTGTAAATAGTTTTATAAATCGTGTTTACTTTTTTACGTGGAGAAACAAATATGGAAAGGAGGCGTAGTAGTGTCCGTTTATTTGATTACTTCATACGCAACGGTGCTCACGGTTATTCTGTGTCGCGCATTAAACGAGTTTTTTGTGTCGAGTTACGGACCCGTCTCTAACAAGAGGAAGTGCCCTTGCCGAATAAACGTCCGGCAGTCCACCAGCATTTGTTTAAGCAAGCTTGAGCTTGCTGATGAGACGTTGAACGCCGAAACCGGTCCAGAGTTTGCTTTTATGAAACCGATGCTGCTGAAAATTGTTCACTACCCAGAAAGGCAGTTGCGGCCAATTTGTAAAATCGATTACTCTCAGACCGACGTGGAAAGGGGTCGGTGTCGTCTGCTTATTTATTTTTAGAGGAGGAAAACTTAGAATGTATCTCTAAAAATATAAATATAATCGTAAATCAAACGTATAACGCGCATTTTATCCTAGGATCCCATTGCGTAATGCATGACAAGCAGGGAACAAAAACAGAACCAGGGACCAACCGACCGAACTAAAGAGGGAAGGGCACTTTAAAGAGATTGGGGTTTCAGAGCAAACTTAAATATATATTTTTGGCTCTATCGGTAAAGTCATGTGACTTTACCGAAAGAGCCAAGGATATGAATCCCTGCAGTCACGAAAGCTTTAAATCGAAACTGAAATATATCTAGCAACTCTGATTGCCTGACTTCAAGTGGCAAGGCGTTCCACAGCTTGAGGTGACCACGCGAACAAAATCACCGCTCACCAAAAGAGCGCAACCTGTAGACCTGGGAGTGCTGAGCAGTTAGAGATCAGGTGTTAAGGACCTTGATGGAATGAATAATTGGATTAGTTACTGCAAATAATGTGGGGTGGTGAGCCTCATAGGGTAAAAGCGGTATCTTAAAATCCACTCGGAATTTGACCGGTAGCCCATGAAGAGATAAGAGGACCTGGGGTGTTATGTGTTCAGTGAATGGCGTACGTGGTGTGATCATTCTAGCAGCTGCATTCTGAATGTAACCGGTATCGACCAAATATCCCAATGCAAAAACAAATGAACACCACACCAGGGCACATGTAACTTAGTCAGTTGGGATGACGCAAAGCAAAACATTTTTGCCCTCCGACTGCAAAAAACTTGGCAGGAGCTCTCCTGCGAAAGAGACTCGGCGGTGAGGCTATTGTGGGTAGACAAGCATTATAATAATATCGTGAATAATCACTGTGTGTGTGTGTGTATATATGGTCTCGTCGTTGGCAGGTGCTGATTATAGTGCGTTCTACTTATAATCATGACGGTTCAAATCGCGTGCAGGAGCTCTGCTATATATGGGAGACACGTAAGGACACCGCACCAACACAATGGGGTGATATGAGAGACGAAACGTTCGGTTTCAAAGCCTCTACATCAATCAATGTTCTTCACTAATTTTCAGAGGGGCAGGGGCCACTTTCGCGGATAATGCATCATGGGTGTGTTTGGGCCGCCACATTTGAAACCATTCTTGGGTTTGCCAGCCGCATGCCGCCGCTGATGATGATGATGATGGTTCAAGTTTTCAAGTTTCATTTCAAGTTTCATTTATTTGGTATAGCCCTCTGAGCCATTCGGCTCTTGAATCGGGTGCAACCGCAACAAACAAAAAAACTAAATCATGAACAAGAAAACATCTTAAAGTGACTATGTGCAAACAGAAAATCTAAGAAAAGACGGCAAAAGATTGCAGAAAAAGCACCGTACACCAACACTCTGTGTGCATGATGATGGGAGGTGGTGTCACTCTTCGTGTACTGTCAGGGGGTCCTGCACGTCAGGGGCCGTCGGGGGCCCGTGGGCCTTGGCAAGGAAGAACGCCGCTCTACGCCGGCTTCCACCAATGTTAGTGCACTGATAATAATTACAATAGTTATCATTAAAGTGATGAACACTATTGGAACCTCCTTTGCCAGTAGCAAAATATGGACACTCTCGCTCTGTACGAAACGGAGCCGTCGCTTTCAGAGTGCTCGAGCAGCTGTTGAAAAACGAACATGAACAGCGTTCATCTTCTTGGTTATTTCGGTAAAGTCACGTGAAAGGGAGATAATAAAATAACAATAAAACATAATAAAATAATACATTGTTTTATTTTTATTATTTTGGTTCTTTCGGTAAAGTCACGTAGAAGGGAGATAATAAAATAATAAAAATAAAACATAATAACATAATACATTATGTTTTATTTTTTATTTTATCATCTCCCTTCTACGTGACTTTACCGAAAGAACCAAGAAGATGAATCCCTGCAGTCACGAAAGCTTTAAATCGAAAAATGAACAGCGTTCATGAGAAATCGATAAATGAATGAACCCCTCTATATGGGTATAGCGTATATGAGCGGACATCCTTTCGGTGCCTTCGTGTATAAATAAAGTTACGTTTGAGCTCATCAGGAACGTTGGGTTGCTCGGTCAATGGCCAGGGTCAACGGCGGCGTGGTGTATTCCGCAAATATGGCCGACTGTGAGGGCGGGCACAAGCCGGCGTGAGTAGGTTAAACGTTGAGTTTTATAAGGGCACCACGGGGTGACCAGCCCCTCACCACCCAACCCCACCCCTCCCACCCCCCACCCAGCCCCACCCTCCCCACCCAGTCCCTCCCCACCCTCCCCACCCAGCCCCTCCCCACCCTCCCCTCCCCACTCAGCCCCAACCTCCCCACCCAGCCCCTCCCCACCCTCCCCTCCCCTCCCTCCCCACCCAGCCCCTCCCCACCCTCCCCACCCAGCCCCTCCCCACCCTCCCCACCCAGCCCCAACCTCCCCACCCAGCCCCTCCCCACCCTCCCCTCCCGACCCAGCCCCTTCCTCCCCACCCAGCCCCTCCCCACCCTCCCCTCCCCACCCAGCCCCACCCCTCCCATTTTTGGATACACGACGGACGGACGGACACAATAATCCCCTGTGGGCTGGTGGAACCGGGAGATTCCTACCAGTATTACTGGTGACTTCCCATGAAGTGGTGATTGTTGCAGACGTCGGCGGTTTGCAAAAACAAAAAAAATCTCTTTTTTATTTTACCAGGTAAGTCCTGGACATCACAAATGATAGCTCAACGAAGTGGCTTATCACGTGGAAATGTATCGCAGCTGCCAATTACTCTGAGCCCGTGTAAATTATAAATGTGGAGGGGAAAACCGGAGGACCCGGAGAAAAATCCACGCAACCACAAAAAAATCTGTGCTAACTCCAAATATACAGCAGGCGTCATGGTAGGGATCGAACCCACGACCTCCTGTATACCAAGCAAGGGAGTTAACATCTCAACACCAAGGCGGCTGCCCTGATTAATATTATACTCTTAGGTTTTTTCGGTAAAGTCACGTAGGTAAAAAATAAAATTAAAAGTTAATAAAAGTAATATTATTTTATTTCCATTATTACTTTTATTAACTTTAAAGAGTATGAATCCTTGCAGTCACGAAAGCTTCAAATCTAGAACTGATTAATATTAACTGTATTTAAAAAAACACGCTCAGTCTGCTTCACAGCAGACATTAAAGATCCCGTGGCATCGATGGCAAGGGGGGACCGATGCGTGCCGGCATGAGCCACGTTTGAAAAATGACCCACAAATTTCGATTTAAAGCTTTCGTGACTGCAGGGATTCATCTTCTTGGTTCTTTCGGTAAAGTCACGTAGAAGGGAAATAATAAAATAAGAAAAAATATATATTATTATATTATATTACTATATTATGTTTTATTTAAATTATTTTATTATTTCCCTTCTACGTGACTTTACGAAAGAACCAAGAAGATGACCCACAAATTATGCATCGCCCCCTGCTGTGAAAACTCCGCATAACTCGCCTGAAAAAGTCGCGGTAACTCGGTGACGCTTTGCGAGGTAAACCACCGTCATAATAAGTCTACGTTATCGCCCCAATGATAGCAAGTAAACAAAACATGCGTCCTTGTAGCCTAATTAAAATGTGTCAAAGTTTCCATGTTTTTTATCGGTCGAACTTCTTTCGCACCGTACGTAGCCAACCCGTGCTAATCGTAGGTGTGGGAAACTCAACAAAACGACCGCTTATTGTTAGGTCACTTTACAACACTCGCAGTTACTTGTGTAATACATCGTTCTGCCCTTCATCTGAAGCTGCGTGCACGAGTCATAAAGCTTCAGTATCGTCTCCGCTCGCCATCACACACGGACGGACGGATGGCACAACTACGCACGCAGGTAAAAAATTAAAATTTAAAATTAATAAAAGTAAAATAAAATAAAAATCACGACGTTTCGGAGGCAACACAAGCTTCCGTCTTCAGGTGAAGACGGAAGCTTTTTTAAAATTTTTTACCTACGTGACTTTACCGAAAAAAACCTAAGAATATGGGAGGAGTCATCTCCACCGGGGGGGAGGAGTCATCTCCACCGGGGGGAGGAGTCATCTCCACCGGGGGAGGAGTCATCTCCACCGGGGGGAGGAGTCATCTCCACCGGGGGAGGAGTCATCTCCACCGGGGGGAGGAGTCATCTCCACCGGGGGGAGGAGTCATCTCCACCGGGGGGAGGAGTTATCTCCACCGGGGGGAGGAGGGTCACGCCCACAAGGGGGAGGAGTCACCTCCACTCACGTGCGGCCTCTACTTCCGGCTTCGTGACAGCCTGGGCGTTGTGCGGGCAGCAGCAGCAGTAGCAGCGTGACACAGGGACCAGGTGACAGAGACCCCAACACTCAGCAGGAACAGGGTAAGTCTATTGTGACAGAGACCCCAACACCAGGAACAGGGTAAGTCTGTGGTGACAGAGACCCCCAACACTCAGCTGAGACAGGGTGAGTCTATGGTGACAGAGACCCCCAACACTCAGCAAGAAACAGGGTAAGTCTATGGTGACAGAGACCCCAACACCCAGCAGAGACAGGGTAAGTCTATGGTGACAGAGACCCCAACACCCGGCAGAGACAGGGTAAGTCTATTGTGACAGAGACCCCAACACCAGGAACAGGGTAAGTCTGTGGTGACAGAGACCCCCAACACTCAGCTGAGACAGGGTGAGTCTATGGTGACAGAGACCCCCAACACCAGGAACAGGGTAAGTCTATGGTGACAGAGACCCCCAACACTCGGCAAGAGACAGGGTAAGTCTGTGGTGACAGAGACCCCAACACTCAGCAAGAAACAGGGTAAGTCTATGGTGACAGAGACCCCAACACCCAGCAGAGACAGGGTAAGTCTGTGGTGACAGAGACCCCCAACACTCAGCAAGAAACAGGGTAAGTCTATGGTGACAGAGACCCCAACACCCAGCAGAGACAGGGTAAGTCTGTGGTGACAGAGACCCCCAACACTCAGCTAAGACAGGGTGAGTCTATGGTGACAGAGACCCCCAACACCAGGAACAGGGTAAGTCTATGGTGACAGAGACCCCAACACCCAGCAGAGACAGGGTAAGTCTATGGTGACAGAGACCCCCAACACCAGGAACAGGGTAAGTCTATGGTGACAGAGACCCCCAACACTCGGCAAGAGACAGGGTAAGTCTGTGGTGACAGAGACCCCAACACCCAGCAGAGACAGGGTAAGTCTGTGGTGACAGAGACCACCAACACTCAGCAAGAAACAGGGTAAGTCTATGGTGACAGAGACCCCAACACCCAGCAGAGACAGGGTAAGTCTGTGGTGACAGAGACCCCAACACTCAGCAGAGACAGGGTAAGTCTATGGTGACAGAGACCCCAACACCCAGCAAGAGACAGGGTAAGTCTATGGTGACAGAGACCCCAACACTCAGCAGAGACAGGGTAAGTCTATGGTGACAGAGACCCCAACACCCGGCAGAGACAGGGTAAGTCTATTGTGACAGAGACCCCAACACCAGGAACAGGGTAAGTCTGTGGTGACAGAGACCCCCAACACTCAGCTGAGACAGGGTGAGTCTATGGTGACAGAGACCCCCAACACCAGGAACAGGGTAAGTCTATGGTGACAGAGACCCCCAACACTCGGCTAAGACAGGGTGAGTCTATGGTGACAGAGACCCCCAACACCAGGAACAGGGTAAGTCTATGGTGACAGAGACCCCCAACACTCGGCAAGAGACAGGGTAAGTCTGTGGTGACAGAGACCCCAACACCCAGCAGAGACAGGGTAAGTCTGTGGTGACAGAGACCCCCAACACTCAGCTGAGACAGGGTGAGTCTACGGTGACAGAGACCCCCAACACCAGGAACAGGGTGAGTCTATGGTGACAGAGACCCCAACACCCAGCAGAGACAGGGTAAGTCTATGGTGACAGAGACCCCAACACTCAGCAGAGACAGGGTAAGTCTATGGTGACAGAGACCCCAACACCCAGCAAGAGACAGGGTAAGTCTATGGTGACAGAGACCCCAACACTCAGCAGAGACAGGGTAAGTCTATGGTGACAGAGACCCCAACACTCAGCAGAGACAGGGTAAGTCTATGGTGACAGAGACCCCAACACTCAGCAGAGACAGGGTAAGTCTGTGGTGACAGAGACCCCAACACTCAGCAGAGACAGGGTAAGTCTATGATGACAGAGACCCCAACACTCAGCAGAGACAGGGTAAGTCTATGGTGACAGAGACCCCAACACTCAGCAGGGACAGGGTAAGTCTATGATGACAGAGACCCCAACACTCAGCAGAGACAGGGTAAGTCTATGGTGACAGAGACCCCAACACTCAGCAGGGACAGTGTAAGTCTGTGGTGACAGAGACCCCAACACTCAGCAGGGACAGGGTAAGTCTATGATGACAGAGACCCCAACACTCAGCAGAGACAGGGTAAGTCTATGGTGACAGAGACCCCCAACACCAGGAACAGGGTAAGTCTATGGTGACAGAGACCCCAACACTCAGCAGGGACAGTGTAAGTCTGTGGTGACAGAGACCCCCAACACCAGGAACAGGGTAAGTCTATGATGACAGAGACCCCAACACTCAGCAGAGACAGGGTAAGTCTATGGTGACAGAGACCCCCAACACCAGGAACAGGGTAAGTCTATGGTGACAGAGACCCCAACACTCAGCAGGGACAGTGTAAGTCTGTGGTGACAGAGACCCCAACACTCAGCAGAGACAGGGTAAGTCTATGGTGACAGAGACCCCAACACTCAGCAGAGACAGGGTAAGTCTATGGTGACAGAGACCCCAACACTCAGCAGAGACAGGGTAAGTCTATGGTGACAGAGACCCCAACACTCAGCAGAGACAGGGTAAGTCTATGGTGACAGAGACCCCAACACTCAGCTGAGACAGGGTAAGTCTATGGTGACAGAGACCCCAACACTCAGCAGAGACAGGGTAAGTCTATGGTGACAGAGACCCCAACACTCAGCTGAGACAGGGTAAGTCTTTGGTGACAGAGACCCCAACACTCAGCTGAGACAGGGTAAGTCTATGGTGACAGAGACCCCCAACACCAGGAACAGGGTAAGTCTATGGTGACAGAGACCCCAACACTCAGCAGGGACAGGGTAAGTCTATGGTGACAGAGACCCCAACACCCAGCAAGAGACAGGGTAAGTCTATGGTGACAGAGACCCCAACACTCAGCTGAGACAGGGTAAGTCTATGGTGACAGAGACCCCAACACTCAGCAGAGACAGGGTAAGTCTATGGTGACAGAGACCCCAACACTCAGCAGAGACAGGGTAAGTCTATGGTGACAGAGACCCCAACACTCAGCAGAGACAGGGTAAGTCTATGGTGACAGAGACCCCAACACTCAGCTGAGACAGGGTAAGTCTTTGGTGACAGAGACCCCAACACTCAGCTGAGACAGGGTAAGTCTATGGTGACAGAGACCCCCAACACCAGGAACAGGGTAAGTCTATGGTGACAGAGACCCCAACACTCAGCAGGGACAGGGTAAGTCTATGGTGACAGAGACCCCAACACCCAGCAAGAGACAGGGTAAGTCTATGGTGACAGAGACCCCAACACTCAGCTGAGACAGGGTAAGTCTATGGTGACAGAGACCCCAACACTCAGCAGAGACAGGGTAAGTCTATGGTGACAGAGACCCCAACACTCAGCAGAGACAGGGTAAGTCTATGGTGACAGAGACCCCAACACTCAGCAGAGACAGGGTAAGTCTATGGTGACAGAGACCCCAACACTCAGCAGAGACAGGGTAAGTCTATGGTGACAGAGACCCCAACACTCAGCTGAGACAGGGTAAGTCTATGGTGACAGAGACCCCAACACTCAGCAGAGACAGGGTAAGTCTATGGTGACAGAGACCCCAACACTCAGCTGAGACAGGGTAAGTCTTTGGTGACAGAGACCCCAACACTCAGCTGAGACAGGGTAAGTCTATGGTGACAGAGACCCCCAACACCAGGAACAGGGTAAGTCTATGGTGACAGAGACCCCAACACTCAGCAGGGACAGGGTAAGTCTATGGTGACAGAGACCCCAACACCCAGCAAGAGACAGGGTAAGTCTATGGTGACAGAGACCCCCAACACCAGGAACAGGGTAAGTCTATGGTGACAGAGACCCCAACACTCAGCAGGGACAGGGTAAGTCTATGGTGACAGAGACCCCAACACCCAGCAAGAGACAGGGTAAGTCTATGGTGACAGAGACCCCCAACACCAGGAACAGGGTAAGTCTATGGTGACAGAGACCCCAACACCCAGCAAGAGACAGGGTAAGTCTATTGTGACAGAGACCCCAACACTCAGCAGAGACAGGGTAAGTCTATGGTGACTGGCGGTCGACACAACCAGCGGCTCCTGCTTTCGCTGAAGTTATTCCGTCAAGCGCCACCGTCTTAACGTAGTTCACGTGTGCACTATGTCGGCCTCTTGAAACATTGAGAGAAAAGTTATGCACTGTACGAGGGTGGTCCAGGTGTATTGTGTCCCCCTCCCCCCAACTTCGTTCTCTAAAACTTTATATATTTTTTAAAAGTAAGCTTTATTTTAAACGTAGAAGTGAACATGCAAAGGGTAAACATGTTTCAATTAATTTTGGGGTGTCACAAGACGTCTTGGGCCACTCTGTAGAGCGTTATTTAGGAGCGGTGGCATAGTGGTTAGCGCACTGTGCTCGGATTGTAACCCGGCAAACTGGGGCTTGGGGTCGAGGCCGCTGCAGTGGCGAGTGATGTCCGAACGCGTCCACCCACCAACAACCAACACCTCCCATGGCCAGCGTGGTGAAGTATGGTGAAACATCCTAACGGAGACGGGCGTGGCTCGGCCTTCATCCCCCCACCCACACACACCACACACACACACACCACCCACACACCACACCACACACCACCCACACACACCACACACCCCCCACCCCCCCCACCCACACACCCACCCCCCACCCACACACCCCCCACCCCCCCCACCCACCCCCCACCCACACACCCCCCCACCCACACACCCACCCCCCACCCACACACCCCCCACCCCCCCCACCCACCCCCCACCCACACACCCACACACCCACACCCACACGCCACCCACACACCCCCACACACCACACACACACACACCACCCACCCACACACCACCAACCCACACACAACCCACCCCCCAGGCATGAATTGACAAAGAGGCTGAAAGCCATTGTGTAACAACAACATTTCATACGGGGTCAATACCCGGGTAGAGTCAGCGTTGACTACTACGCTGGGCATATTTTTTTGTACAACTTAATCTCTAATAGGCGCGGGGAAATTGTTTTGAAAGTGGTCTGCCCACATAGCTACATGGGGTGGCTGGGAGATGTGTAGCATTGTGTATGCACCCCCCCGCCGCCACTGAATCTCGGGCAGATATCCGCTTTCCTCCGCGGTGGGGGGCAGTTTCCCAAGTCGCGCACATCCGCAGGCTCCGTATAAAGATGTGGCTCCCATCGCGGCTGATGTTGCGTAAAATAAAATAAATATTTTAAAAAACTTTTTTAAAAACACGCTTTAATGAAATGTACCGTACGAGTAATGGCAGAACTCCACGACTCCAGGAAGTGGCCCCGAAGCTTGCCGTGACGTAAGGGACCGTGATGATTTACAGGCAACGTGAGTTGAGCGTGGACAATTAGACCCATAAAAAAGATTGTAAAAAAAATATGTTTAGTTTTTTATGATTGAATATAGTATTGTCATCAGTATGACATACCTATACCAAGTTTGCAGTCGACACGACATTAGGAAGACGGTTGAAATTGAGTTACAAAATTTGAGGATACGACAACAGAGTTAAATAAAAGCGTGTAAATGTTTTGGATTTTTTATGATAGAATATAGTCTTGTCATCAGTATGACATCAGTATGACCAAGTTTTCTGTCGATAGCACATTGGGAAGTGGTTAAAAATTGAGTTACAATATTTATTGAGGATACGACGACAGACGGAGTGAGTTAAATAAACGCGTGTAACAATAAAAAGCAGCCTCATTTTGCTTGGCCGTGCGAAGCGCCGCACGCCGAAACATCATCAACAACAAGAATGTCGGCGTCGCAGAGGACAAGTTGAGGCACAGCCCTGGCATTGTTTCTCTCCGCGAGAGAGAGAGATCCAAAGAGCGCAATTTGGCCTACTCTTCCACTCCGGCCAGTCGCCTTTGGAACGATGTCGGAGTACGGTACGAGTACCCCCCCCCCACGCTTCAGCCGGCCACGCCTACCTGCCGATCGACTCGCCGCGATGATTGTGTGTTTTGACAAATGCAGCTACTTCTTTGTCGTGATCCCCCCCCCCCCCCCGCGAGTATCCGGCCATGTCAACCATGTCTGAGGAGAGCAAAGCTGCAGCTTGCTGGCCGAATCGTCATGATCCCGGCAGAGGCCATACCCGGCCGCACCAGGGTCGCAAACGGGTACCCGTACCCGGCCGTACCCGTACCCTACCCGTACCCGGCCGGGTACGGGTAGGGTACGGGTATCGGGTACCTGATTGTGACCTCTGGGATGAAGCCATGGTGCAGGCGCGGGTGGGTTGATTCTAGGAACTTGAATTGTGAGAAGAGACAAGACGTTGGGAAATGAGTGACAAACGGTTACTCACCAGTGACTCACGGCCTACCCGTACCCGTACCCGGCCGCACCAGGGTCGCAAACTGGTACCCGTACCCGGCTGGGTACGGGTAGCCGTCTATCGGGTAGGGTACGGGTATCGGGTACCAGTTTGCTACCTCTGGATCCCTGCCAACGTGTGACTGCAGGTTTGACCTTTAAGGTGTCCCGGCTCGTGTAACCGACCCCTCCTATGCGACCACGCCCACGCGCTGTGGTGCGACGTGTGCAGATGGCGCACTGTGTGAGCAAGGTGGAGCTGAGCGTCTCGTGCGACAATCTCCTGGACAAGGACGCGGGCTCCAAGTCGGACCCTTTGTGCGCCGTGCTCATGGAAACGGGCGGAGCGTGGGTGGAGGTGACTCGTCATCACCGTCGTCGCCTCCGTCATCACCTTCATCATCACCGTCATCACCTTCATCATCACCGTCGTCACCTTCATCATCACCATCGTCACCTTCATCATCACCGTCGTCACCTTCATCATCACCATCGTCACCTTCATCATCACCGTCGTCGCCTTCATCATCACCGTCGTCACCTTCATCATCACCGTCGTCACCTTCATCATCACCGTCGTCGCCTTCATCATTACCATTGCCACAGTAGACTCATCACCGCCACCATCACCATCGAATCGTCATCGTAACCTTATCATCATCATCTCCATCATTATCGTCGCAACCATCACCTCCTCACACCGGGTCCGTCGTGGGGGTTGTTTGACCGTACTTCACCAATCTAGTCGGTGCGGGTTGGTGAACGGTGGGGGAGGGGGGGCCCGGAACAACTTCAGATTTCGCTGTCCACCGATGTTCAGTTTGCAAGCACAAGTTTGCGTTTTAAGTCAATGTAACAAACAATATATATTTCATGGAAGCTGGTTCGTAAGTGCGGGTACTTGTAAGTCGAGGACTGCCTGTACTCTAAATGCACGTTGATTCTAAATGTGGAGGGAACATTTGGAGGACCCGGAGAAAAATCCACGCGACCATGGGGAAACTCCAAATATACAAGCGTCGGGGTCAGGATCGATCCCGTGACCTCCTGCATGTTACGCGAGGGCGATAACGTCTCCAAATGTAGGGCTGCACCTTTACCTTTTCTTTCAATCGTTCCTTCAGATCGCGCGCACCGAGCGCATCAACAACTGCCAGAGCCCCAGCTTCTCGCAGCGCATCCCCCTCGACTACTGCTTCGAGCAGGTGCAGAAGCTGCGCCTCACCGTCTACGACGTCGACAACGTCAGCGTGCAGCTTGCCGACGACGACTTCCTCGGAGCGGCCGAGTGCTCGCTGGGCCAGGTGAGGGCACGCAACGGCGGACTCCGCTGGGTTCGAGACCACCGCCTGAATGTCTCCGGGACGGTGTTTGTCCTCGTGAGCCGGGTTTGGGGTGGGGGCACCCAACGCAATCACCCCACGCCTCTGTAGAACAAAACCGTAGCAAGCTTCTTCTTGGTTCTTTCGGTAAAGTCATGTAGAAGGGAAATAATAAAATAATAAAAATGAAACATAATAGTTAGTATGTTTTATTTTAATTATTTTAATAAAAATAAAACATAATTATGATGTTTTATATAAATTTTTATTATTTTATTATTTCCCTTCTACGTGACTTTACCGAAAGAACCAAGAAGATGAAGCCCTGCAGTCACGAAAGCTTTAAATCGAAACGTAGCAAGCTTCACAAATTCTCACGCTGTCATGTGTGTGCGTGTCCGCGAGTGTGCCTGCTTGTGTGGGGAGCGGTAGTGTAGCTGTTAGCGCGATGCACTTCGAACCCGGCGACCCGAGTTCGATTCCGGCTCGTGGCGCGTGGCCGAGCAACGGACGCTTGCTGCTGTACAGCGCAAGTCAATCGTTTGGCACGTAGACTATGCTCACCTGTGAAACACAGCGCCTTGGTGATTGCCTTGCGCTATACAGGTTAGAGCAAATACCAAATGTGCAATATCAACCATTGTTAGATACAGTGTTGTCCTTCTCCCGCAGCTCTGATCAGCACGGTTGGTTATGTACGATGCGAAAGAAGTTCATGCATATAACAGGGCTTATTTCAGGAGACTTCCAAAATATGGAGGAAGAAAAAAAACATTGGAAAGAGATGGAAAATCGCGCTCCTTGCAGCTCAGATGCTGAACCGCGTGCAAGGCAACGCTGACTTTGTTAGCCGCGTGCCCACGCTGCGAAGAAATGTCAAGCGCCAGGCAGTCCCACTTTACTGCGCTGTACAGCAGCCAGCAACGGATTCGTTCCGCTGCCCGAACGTGGCCGAATGTTTGTCGCGGTGCCCTCTGTTGACGGTGCATCGCCCTTGCAGGTGGTGTCGAGTAAGAAAATGACGGTGCCCCTGCTTCTGAAAAACGGGAAGCCTGCCGGAAAGGGAACCATAACCGTACGTACGCGATGACACGAGGAACGGTGACCGTCACGTCGCCCGCCCCACCCCCCATCCCTGTCCGTCCGTTTTTACGCCACGCGTTGTTTGGCACGATGTCCGACGTTTCGGTCCGCGTTCTTTTTTGGGCGAGGGGGGAGGCTTCTTCACGCGTCGGGAGCTTTGGACACTTTGTGGAAGCTGCCAGCAGGTGGAGTGAAGTGTCGGACGGGAAACCGAAAAAGGCCAAATGCGGCTCGACCCTTGAAAACGCATAGGAGAGCCGAGCCGGATTAACCACGGTGATGGTGCGTTCAGTTTTGTGTACGTGCCAAAGGATTCCGTTCGAAAACGATACCTTGATTGACACCGTCGTCTGTGTCCGGATGATTTGAAATGTTGACCGAGGCAAGACGAGAAATAAACTAAATTATAATCGACTTTTTATTTTACCAGGTAAGGCCCACTCAGCTGTATAGCTCTTTTTCAGAAGCAATCTGGCCACAAATTATAGCTCAACCAAGTGGGCTTGTCGCATGGAAATTTATAACAGCCAAATAATCTAAAAGCATGTTTTAAAATTTGGAGGGAAAACCCGGAGGACCTGGAGAAAAATCCACACGACTTCAGATAGATAGATAGATAGATCGTTTATTGTCATTGTCACCAGTACAACGAAATTTAAAATGCTCACCAGTCAGGGCATCATTCATAAATTTAAATTAAATAAAACAAGAAAATAAAAATAAAATTAAATGAAATTAAATGGAGAACATGCAGACTCCAAATATAGAGCAGCAGGCGTCAGGGTCAGGATAAAACCCACGACCTCCTGCACACCAGGAGAGGTAGTTAACATCTCGACACCAAGGGAAACTCGTCAGTGGTGGAGAGGAGCCTCCAAATTGAGTCTCGTACAGTAATCCATCGTTTAGCGCGGGAGATGTGTTCCTGAGAAGTGCCGCGCTAAGTGAAAACCACGTTGAGCGGGGAGTTTCTGTACTGCATCACATTTTGCACGTTAAAAACATCGGCCCTGTGTTTTTTTTGCCTGTTTTTCTTTTTACGTGAACGACCACAGGTCATGGCAGAAGAGATCAAGGACAACCGAGTGCTCACGTTGGAGGTGGAAGCGTCGAACCTTGACAAAAAGGTGACGTGTGGGGCCTGAGATTTTAAGATAGAGGGAGCTCTTGGGGAGCTCCTGTAAGAGGGTAGATTTGACCTTCTCTTACACACTGGCTAAGACGGTCTCGGAAGAGGCGGGAGAATAAACTCGTGATGTTGATTCTTCTAAATGTGGGGGGGGGGGGAAATCGGATGACCCGGAGAAAAATTCCATGCTACCACGGGCAGAGAGACATGCATACAGGCGTATAATTTTAGATTTGAAGTTTTCGTGACTGCAAGGATTCATACTCTTTGGTTTTGTCGGTAAAGTCACGTAGGTAAAAAATTTAGATGAATTAAATCACGACGTTTCGGGCGCAACACAAGCGTCCTTCTTCAGGTCTGGACAACTTCGCGAAAGCACACCGCTTAAGTGTGACCACACTTAAGTGTGATCATTTATTAAAATTTTTCATCTACGTGACTTTACCGAAAAAAGCAGAGTATACAGGCGTATATTTTTGGTTCTTTCGGTAAAGTCACGTAGAAGGGAAATAATAAAATAATGAAAATAAAACATAATAAAATAATTCTCACGACGTTTCGGCCACAGTGTCTGAATGAACTGTCTTTCCGACAGACCTGTTCTTCACCTGAGGACGGCTGCTTGCGTTGTGGCCGAAACGTCGTGAGAATTCTTTTATTATGTTTTATTTTTATTATTTTATTATTTCCCTTCTACGTGACTTTACCGAAAGAACCAAGAAGATGAATCCCTGCAGTCACGAAAGCTTTAAATCGAAATTTAGGCGTATATTTGTCGTGATCAAACCCACAATCTCCTGTACACCAGGCGGGGTAGTTAACATCTCGCCACGGATGTGAGGGCACGGGATGACTGGCGCGCTCTGTTGCCGCGTTCGTAACAAACGCGTTTGTCCCGCAGGACTTCATGAGCAAGTCTGATCCGTTCCTGGAATTTTACAAACAAGGCATCGACGGGAAGTGGCAGCTGGTTCACCGCACAGAGGTAATGAAAACGAAAAAAAGAAATGTCCAGCGATTTCACGAATTCAATTATGTTCTGGCTTTGCGCAAGATCGCCTCTGTGCTCGTAATCATGCCGGCATGACGTTTAATCGTTGGGGCCAGACTTAATTTTGGTTTGTGAGTTATTACAATCTGTGTCTTTTTTTCTTTTTTTTACCAGGTGGTGAAAAATAACCTCAACCCGAAGTGGAAAACGTTCCAGATATCACTGCAGAGCCTTTGCAACGGTGAATTGGATCGACCCATCAAGGTGGAGTGAAACCTTTGTCCAGCTGTTCATCCATCCATCACCCTCTCTCCCTATTTGTCTATCCGTGCCGGTCTTCTGTCTGTCAAACCTGTCCATTCGACTGCGGGAGTGCCAAGGCGAGAGTTTGCTGTGTGTGCGCACGTGTCCGTGAGTGTGCCTGCTTGCGTTGGGGAGCTGTAGTGTCGCGGTTAGCGCGATGCACTTCGAACCCGGCAACCCGAGTTCGATGATTCCCGTTCATGACCACCAACGCCAGTGACGGTTATCTGAACTTGTCCTGGGCTTGCCCTAGGTCGACTCGGCCTCAAATGAGTAAACTTTGCCACTAGGGGGACAACGGTAGCCGGGGGCGTAAGTGCTGGCGACCCACCCCCGTCGTGTGCCATGCCGGCCTTCATAGACTCTCGCTAAACAGCACTTGCACGAAAGTGTCTATACAGGGGGTCTTTGTGCGTGGCGTGCGTTTGTCTTTGTGCACGTTGTGCGTGCGTACGTGCGTCACGCAGGCGGCGTGCATGGACATGGACGAGGATGGCAGCTCGGACCTCATCGGTGAGGCCGAGACGACGGCCACGGCGCTTCTCAAAGCTCGCGACGGCGCGGTGAGAGATCGTGGGGCTCACGTAACATCGCTCACCCCCCCCCCCCCCCCCCCCCCTTTGCCCTCTGTCTCTCGCTCTGTTTCTTTGTCTGCTGCGGTGTCTCTCCCCCGCTCCCTGTCTCTTCTCTGTCCTGCTCCTGTCTCCGCTATCTGCCAGGTGTCCTGTAGTGACGCTGATGACGACGGATCACATGACCTCATTGGGGAATTTGAGACGTGCATGAAAAAGCTGCTCGAAGCTCAGACGACTTCGGTGAGACAGATTTTTATTTTTTCTGTCGCTCTTAACCGTCTCATTTTCCGCAAACTCCTTACTTGCGCATGTGTTCTACCTTTTTGGTGTGGCCCGGACTGCACGCAGGGCTATCAAACGCACGTGACCTTCGCATGCAGGGCACGTGCAGCCGACTGCTTGGCTCTTTGCTTTCTCTGACGTTCTGTACGTACGTACGTTGAACTTATTTTTCGTACCGTACGTAGCCAACCCCTGGCTGATCGTGCTTTACCAGTGAGCTCCCTCTCGAGGATACTTTGCCTACTCTTTCACGCTGGTAAGACATCTTTTGAAGAGGTGGGGGATTACCCAGCTTTAGGAAAGTTGCACCTCGATTTAAAGCTTTCGTGACTGCAGGGATTCATTTTCTTGGTTCTTTTGGTAAAGTCACGTAGAAGGGAAATAATAAAATAATAAAAATAAAACATAATAAAATACAATTCTCACGACGTTTCGGCCACAACTCAAGCAGCCGTCCTCAGGTGAAGAACAGGTCTGTCGGAAAGACAGCGTCTGAATGAGCACCACCAAGCTTAAATATACGCTGCCAAGCTTGGTGGTGCTCATTCAGACGCTCTCTTTCCGACAGCCCTGTTCTTCACCAGAGGACGGCTGCTTGCGTCGTAGCCGAAACGTCGTGAGATATGAATTTTATTATGTTTTATGTGTATTATTTTATTATTTCCCTTCTACGTGACTTTTACCGAAAAAACCAAGAAGATGAAAGTTGCACCGTCGTTTCAACCACTGTGCCCGCGAGTCTAAATCGGCGACCTCGAGGTGACAGCTCCGGGGAGCTTCCCTGCGCATGGCACCACGGCAGCGGTAGCAGCAGCAGCAGCGGCAGCAGCAGCAGCGGCAGCAGCAGCAGCAGCAGCTGGCAGCAGCAGCAGCGGCAGCAGCAGCAGCAGCAGCGGCAGCAGCAGCAGCGGCAGCAGCAGTGGCAGCAGCAGTGGCAGTAGCAGCAGCAGCGGCAGCAGTGGCCACGTAGGGCCTTTTTGAGTCTCGTCTGAAGTGACGCCAATTTTGTTTTCTTGGCCTCGGCAGGTGGAGATCGACTGCATCAACCCAAAGAAGAAGAAAAAGAGCAGCTACAAAAACTCGGGGAAGATCCGCTTCCGATCGGCCAAGGTATTTCCTTGCAGCATTCGGCCCACTGCTGGATGAAGGCCTCTCCTCCTCTCCATCAGTCCCGTCTTTTTTTTCTTGGTCGTTCCCGGCCTCCCGTTCCACTCGCATGACAGCAGCCGCTTGTGTCCCGTGGTGGTATTGTATTCGGCACAGGCTGCACTCATAATGTGCGCGGCATGTCGGCGCGAGTTGTGGTTAACTGCTCACTCTGCTCTATCCCATGGCCGAGCGGATGAGTGGAGGCGGCGTTGTTGTTGTTGTTTTGTACCGATCTTGGCTGTCCGATAGGTGGATGTCGCCTATTCCTTCCTGGATTACATCATGGGCGGCTGTCAGATCAACTTCACGGTGAGTTTGGTTTAAACTTCCTAAATCTGCCCTCGAATTTTAACTCTGCCCCGGTTGTTATATGACAGTGGCGCTTAACTCGCTTCCCACCCCCCACTTCCTCTCCTGACTTCCCAGCATGAGCCTTAGGAAATGAAGAGCAATTTAATAACAGCTGGGGAGATTAACACGTGAAAGTTCTCTGTCTGCTACTAATATTACTCGCTGGTCGACAGATCGAGCCCCAGGGGGAGTGTTCATTTTGTGAACGAGATTGGTGACGGAAATATTCATCAAAAAAGTCGATGGCTCTGACTGGTCGCCCGCCAAACAAACACCCAAAGCACGACTGACTGCGATGACATGAACGAGTGTGAGTGAGGACTTAGACCAAGATAATTTAGCAACGTTACTCGGGACAGCAGTGCACCGAGGAAGACCGAACGTGGTACGCTTTGAAAATGTCGATTTGTGTCTAAACATTGACCTGGTTTATCGAGCGCCTGACCTGACAATATTGGCGGGGAGAAGGGAAATCGTTCGCACCCCTCACACCAACATCTAACAACTAAATAGCGTCTGACCTGAGCGCTCGACCACTTTAGTCGACCAGACTAAAAGAGAATGCTTCGATGAAATCCACCGACTTTAAGCCTCGACTAAATCTGCACGGGTTGCTCGCCGCACCGAGACTCAAAGCTCCGACGAACATAAAAATTTCTGCCTCGTGAATTCTGGTAAAACGGTGACGGGGTGACGGGCATCTCGTGCGGACCCGACACAGGTGGGGATCGACTTCACGGGCTCCAACGGAGACCCACGCTCCCCGGACTCGCTGCACTACCTCAGCCCCACGGGACTCAACGAGTACCTGGAAGCCCTGTGGTCCGTGGGCATGGTGGTGCAGGACTACGACACGTGAGTGCTTTGGCCCACCCCCCACCCTGCCCCCTACGTCCAGAGGATCTCTGGATAGAATGCCACGTGGGGGTACTCCCCCCCCCCCCCCCTCCCTCCATTCAATATCAATAAAACACACAGGCCCATTGTGGTGCCAGTCATCTCAGTCGGTCAACCCATGGCACATGGGTCTTGTCCCGTGACCACCTGCCAGCGGGCGTTCGACACTTCACGTGACCTGAAAGTGCACTTAGCCTGGCACAAGCGCCGTGGTGATGTCACATCCACCGAGTGGCGAATGGCGGTGGTTGTTGTTGCTACGGATTCCCGGCCACTACTTATCATCAGCGACGATTTTATGAACCAGCTCCTGGGCCACCTCCTCCCTTCGGTTAACTCTGCACCTGCTGCGAGTGTGCAGTCATTCACGCTGCTGGCAATACCCCCCCCACAACCCCCCCCCCCTTGTGCGCAAATGCTGACCCTCACGGGTGCTCGCTCACACCACTTGCCCCAACAGCCCAACAAAGGCCCCACTGGCCTATCGTTGTTTTTGTTGCCCATTCGAAAGTCAAAACGTGACTCCCTCGCACACGAACGTGGAGCACTGCACATCTCCATTATAGAGCCCCGAGCCAGCGGTGGAATTTCCCTATTCCTATGGCGGGGGCCAGAGAATCCACCAGCCAACCACGCTTCACCTCCAAAGGGGTGAAGGTGCAGCCCTGCCGATGCCACTCACTCCTGGCAGAAGGTGTTTGGCCTACTCTTCCATGCTGGGCAGATGTCTTTGAAGGGGGTGGGAGTACCCACACTTTACCCCACCACACGTGAGTTGCCTACCAAGTAGCTGTGGTCTGCTGCTGCTGGGTCGGCGGTGGTGGGGAGAGGGGAGGGGGGTGGATCTGAGAAACTTGCCTCATTGCTCCAACTTCCACGCCGGGAATTCGTGCCCATGACCTCTGGTTTGCAGTTTCAGTTTGCTAACCAATACATGTTAGTATGACGGTATATCCGTCAGTTTAAATATGTATTTAGAAATATGTATTTATACACATTTGTACACTTTGGGGCGCCACGGTAGTGCACTGTTATCTATCTCGCCTGGGATGCAGTTGGTCGTGCATTCGGTCCCGACCCTGATGCCTGTGTATTTGGAGTTTGCAAGTTCTCCTTGTGGGCGCGTGGATTTTGCTACGGGTCCTCCACATTTAGAATCGTCGTGCGTTTTAAAGTATTTGGCCGCTATAAATGTCCACATGATAAGCCGCTTTGTAGAGCCATCATTTGTGGCCAGGTCGCTTCTGAAAAAGAGGTGCTGATAGCTCGTTGGGCTGCTTTGCCTGGTAAAATACAAAAAACATTATTAAATAAATACAATTAGAATTCCTTATAAGGGAAACAAATACCAATGAATAACAATTGAATGATTACCAATCTATATAATTACAATACCCTCCCCCTCTTTGCCTCAAATCACTGCACCAGATTGAATTGAATTAGATGATGACGTCACCCTGCTGCTGCTGCTCTATTTAAGACCGGAAGCAACAGGAGAGCTTCACCATTTTTGCCCGATGAAGCTGATTGTAATTATCAGCGAAACGTCAAACTACTAAAATTTTAAAATGCTGTTGATTCTTTCTTCAGCACACCGGTGGGCTAAAGTAGTGAACTATTTGTCCTTTGATAACGTGACACATTTTTTACTGTTTGGACGTGTCGGGTGGTGGAGGGTTACGACACATTTATAAATAACGCGATCTGACCCAAAAACCTATATTATGAATAATATTGGTCGCGAAAGCCTACGTCTTAAAAAAACATCGTTTTAGTATTGTCATGCTGTTGTGTGTTTAATGTGCATGTGACATCGCTGTGTCTGTGCATCCTTGTGTCTGCCCACAGCGAGCTCGCACGATCTCTGCACCCCCAAAAAACAAGCCGTTAAATCTGACATGAATTTTAAATTACATCAGGCCTCAGTTCAGTGAAAAATAATGAAATTTGTTTTTCACCGTTCCAGGGACAAGATGTTTCCTGCCTTTGGATTTGGTGCTCAAATCCCTCCAACCTTCCAGGTCTGGTGAAATGACGCTTTCTATTTTGTTTTGTCCGCTGCCTGACATTGCTGCTGGCTGAGAAGGATAACCTGAAAAATCCTTCGGGTTTCCACAGTCGGTACAATGAATATCCGTGTTTGTCTTTGCGTTGGGCCACGTGCTAGTTTTATTTCGGTCGAATTTTGGTACGAAACCACAAACTGCTACGTGACTTCGCTGATTGGCTGACCTGGTAATATTGCGGTGGAGGGGGGCACACTTCCCCCCACCGCTTACACGAACATTTAACAACTAAGTGACTAAATATATATTTTTGGGTTCTTTCGGTAAATTCACGGAGATGGGTTGAAAGAAAAAAAACTACGACGTTTCGATCGCAACACAAGCGGTCCTGATGACGACCGCTTGTATTGCGATCGAAACGTCGTAGTTTTTTAAAAATTTTCTTTGAACCTACCCACGTGACTTTACCGAAAGACCCAAAAAACATAAAGCTTTCGTGACTTGCAGGAATTCAAGTCAAGTTTTAAGTGACTAAATGTTTGACTGCTTTAGTTAACCGATTAAGAGAACGGTTTAAATGAAATCCACAGACTTCAGTCAACCTGGCCAAGGGCTCCGACTGAATTAGACGATAACGCTAGGGCTGCCTGTGTCGCCTGCAGGTGTCGCACGAGTTTGCCCTCAACTTCAACCCCACCAACCCCTACTGCGTCGGTCAGTGCTGGTCCCCCCTCCCCCTCCCTCGCAAGCCGTCCATCCGTCGCCTTCGTTTCGTATTCCCACGCTTGCCGTGCACTCGTCGAATCGTGTCGCATTCTCTGTATTTATAAGAAGCTCCAGATTATAAGATACCCCCCCACACACACACCAATTTGTGTGTGTTATCCATAGAATACGGTGTTTGATAGCCGATTTCGTTTTGAAAAGGTTGAGCCACAAAATGAACGTTTTAATATGCCTGCAGCATGAAAGTTTTACTGTCTCAGGCGGTACCCAAAGGTGAGATGTCTGGGCAGTGGGGACCCGTGGCGCGGTGATAAGGTGCAGCAGCAGCGCGCTCGCGACTTGTTGCAGAGGTCCGCGGTACAAATCCGGCAGGCCACCCTGGTTAATACTGCAGCTGTTATTAACCATGTGATGCACGTCGTCCGCTTCACAGTGTACGTTACAGATCCCGTGACGTAAGTTGACAAGAGTAGGCCATTGTGCGTCCGGCATCCTGGTCTACAGTAGCCACATTTTTATAGTACTTGCTGAATTAAATTGGGATTATACATAAAAACATTGCTCCCTGCCCCCTCCACACTGCTGTGAAACTACAGCAGGCTGTGTCTGTGAAACAGCGCCTTCGTGATAACCTCATGCTGTAAGAGTGGCACACGGATGCCAAATGTCGTCGCGCTTTCATTCGACGGACTGCGATGACTCGCTCGCTTGCCATCGCGCGCGTACGACAGGCGTGCAGGGGATCGTGGAAACGTACCGCAACTGCCTGCCGCAGATCCGCTTCTACGGGCCCACCAACTTCGCTCCCATCATCCAGCAGATCGCCCGCTTTGCCGCCGCCGCCCAGCAGCTGCCCACAGCCACGGTGGGTGGGCACCACGCTTGGCACCGCGCTTGGCCACCGACATTGGCACCACGTGACACAGAGCCACGCTTCCTCCCTCTTCGCTACGCCTGCTCTCCCTCTATGATCGCTGTGATAGACGGAGGCCGCAGACACGGCGGCACTGGACCCAATTATCCGCTCTACCATTTTACAGTAGCGATGGCCTTTGACGTGAGTCCCGTTCCGAAATCGTACGCCAGATAGACGCGAGCCATTGGGGGAGAGCTGTGTGTGCAGGAGCAGGGGAGTTGTTGAATTTCAATGGCCTTTCCACACGTTACCATCGTCGTTGTTATTTTGAGCCTGTAACTTAAGCTCTAGGTAAGGCCCACTGAGCTATACAGCTCTTTTTCAGAAGTGACCAGGCGAAACCGGAGGACCTGGAGAAAAATCCATGCGTCTACGGTCAGAGGATATATGCAAACTCCAAATATACATGCATCAACAGGGTTGGTATTGAACCCACGACCACCTGCATACCAGGCGAGGTAGTTAACATCTCGCCACCGTAGCGCCCTGCCCCATAATTCCCCCCCGTTCTTTCCTTTCCATTCTAAAAAGAAAAAAAAGGGGCTATCGTGGAATTTATTTTTTGGTTAGCTTCCGAACACACCGCCCCCTTTATTGCGTTTTCCCTCCTGCGCTCGCTCTCTCGCTTGCAGCAATACTTCGTGCTGCTCATCGTGACGGACGGTGAGATCACGGACATGGCGGAGACGCGCGCGGCCATCGTGGCCGCGTCGCGCCTGCCGCTATCGCTCATCATCGTGGGCGTCGGCGCTGCCGATTTCACCGCCATGGAGGTGCTGGACGGAGACGGGGGGGGCCCCCTCCGCACCGTGGCGGGGGAGCCGGCCACACGTGACATCGTCCAGTTCGTGCCCTACAAGCAGTTCAAGCAGGTACGCCAGGCGCCGGGGGGGGGGGCGGGTGGGCAAACAGATTGAGACGCCAACGATAGATGGAGGCTGGCGCGTGGATAGGATGGGAGAGTGGCATGGATGAGATGGGAGACGGAGAGTGGGCATTGATTTTTATCGAAAATATTTCCAGGCAATGCTTTATGGCCTCGTTCCCCACTGTGTGTTGTAACGGTTTCCATGTGGTGTTGTTCGTGCCACTCAGATGCCAAAGGAAGCACTGGCCCGGGCAGTTCTGGCCGAAATCCCCCAGCAGCTGACCACGTACTTCAAGCAGCGCAACATGGGTCCAGCCAACGTTCCTCGCACCTAAGGGCACACACACACACAGCAACATACACACGTAGCACGCCACGCCACACCGCACGCAACACACACACACACACACACCCACGGTGAAACACGCGCTCGCAGTCGCACACACTTGCGTACAACATACACGTGCATGCTTGAATGTTTACTTACACACGTGCACTCACACATGCACAAGCTGTTGTTGACAGCACGGATGGCTGGGAAGGGGAGTTCCAGACAACAGGGGACAGCAAAGGTTGACTGGGGACTTCGATGGAAAGCCTCGCTTGCCAGAGCGGAGAGAGAGTTAGATGAGAGGGCGAAGGTAGACAGGCATGAGCTCATTGGAGGATGCTGAAGACAGCGAGTGTGATACTATGTAGGTTCTAGTATGCAGGTATATATTTTATATTTTTATAGATTATGGATCCCTGCAGTCATGAAAGCTTCAAATCAATATCGCACCCATATAGGCGCATTTGTTTCGATCCTTTCAGCACCCACATAGGTGTGAGGGGACACCTAGCTCGCCACCAATGCATCCTGGTTGAGGCTCCAAGAAATGTGGCAGCTTTGGAAAAGGGGACGAGGAGGTCCGTTACGTTGTCTCGGCGATGAAGAGACAGGGCCCCCCCCCCCCCGTCCGTTGTCTGAGCAGAGCGGCGCTCCGATGTTTGTGGAAGATTTTTTTTTCCCTGCGCAGCCTGATTGCTCCCCGTCGGTGATAAACATGGGATCTGTCAAACCATGCAAATATTGATTTGCAAAAGACGGTTGACCATGTGCCGAATATTGTGTGAACCATTTATGGATAACCCCACTAAAAATATATATATAGAAAATAATTGTAGGGAATACTACTTATATTTCCATAGGTTCTAGATATCTTAATCTCAGTACACTTATTAAATATTTGAATAATCTCTGTATATCATGGAGCCATCACTTTCACAGTATGGGGCTGCACTATGGCGAGATGTTAACTCCCTCACCTGGTATGCAGAAGGTCGTGTGGATTCTTCTCCAGGTCCTCTGGTTTTTCCCTCCACATTTAAAATCAATATGCATTTCCATTATTTAGCTACTATACATTTCCACATCGTAAGCCACTGCGTTGTGCAATCATTTGTGGCCAGGTCGCTTCTAAGAAAGGGCTACTATCTAGCACCGTGGGCCTTACCTGCTAAAATAGTTAAGTTTTTAGTTTACAATATGCACTTGCCTGTTGATAAGAGAATCGGTGGTCGTCGGATAATTGATGGAATATCTACGAATGGATCATCCTGTAGGTGTTACAATTGTCACTGGGCGAGGCTGTGTTCGCCTTGGGAATAACCCCCATGTTTTGGCGGCAAATGGATGTTTTCACGTTACACCAGCTAGATGTTGACATTCCAGCATGCATGTATGTATGTATGTTGAACTTCTTTCGCAACATCCGTAGCCAACCGTGCTCATCAGAGGTGCGGGGGAAGGACAACAAACTAAACACGAAAAGTATAAGGGAAGCATAGTTAAGTGTTTCACGTAGTTATATTTCCCCATTACACGCAGCCCCGTCGCGTCGAGGGGGCTGATTGAGGTTCGGCACCCCACTTTTAAATTCGTATAATCAATTTAAAAAATGTTACATTCCCTTTCCCCATACATAATGGGCGAGAGCTAGATCATCAATACAGACAAATCAAATCGTAACGTGACGCTCTGTTTAGTGTTTCATATTTGTTTACAGTTTGTTTAGCATTGACTTCAATTTTTTTGTCAGTTTAACACGTAGGCTTTCACGACCAATATCATCCATAATACAGGTTTTTAAATCCTTTATATTAAGTTCGCATGCTTGCTTGCTTGCGTGCTTGCTTGCTTACGACCGTGCAAATCTTTCGGTCGTTTTTTAACCCACTTCCCGTGATCCAATCGAGCTGACATTTTCCACACAGACTCGTTGTGCCAGACAATTAATGTTCGTGAAAAAAAATTCCCAAAATTTTACACTTTTTAGGCAAAAAAAAATTATTTTACATATATTCAAATAGAACTCATTCATCGCTTTGGCTGAACGTCACAGTATAAGAGCCCAGAGCGTAACCCGTCCACAGGCCGTGGCGGAGTAGCGCAGTTGGTAGCGCCCTCGCTTCCCATGCCAAAGGTCGCGGGATCGATCCCCGCGTCCTCCATAGGCGAATATATTTTAAATCCTTTATATTAAGTTCGCTGCCACGCATATAAAGGATTTATAGTGAAAAACTTTGTTTTTACGGGTTATACTTATTTTGGGTTAGATTGCATAAATATATAAATGTATCGTCAGGTGGTGGCTGGTTTAACGACACATTTATATCCACGATGTAAGCTAACAAAAAACTTATGGAGTTGTGTTCACACGTTTATCGTATTCTTAGGACTATAGACACTTTCCACCCCTCTATTGTGAAGCAAAAGTTGGGGATGGGTCTTATAAATATGGTGGCTTTGTGCCGTGACCAGATGTGTCTAACTTTATTGACACCGTTCACAGGTTTTGGCTGCGTCTTATTGTACCCAAGTTTGCAATGGAGTTTGCCACCTGTCCTGGTTTTTCCCAGGATGTCCTCTTTTCTGAGGTAGTGCTGAAATCTCCTGGGACAATTAAAAGTTCCAGTTTTTGTGAGTTTTGTAATAATGTACCACTCAAGACATAGTTCTCCCCTGTTGTCGTCTTATGAGATTTTTTTTTTCTTCCCATGACATGTCCAGTTTTTTGTACCGCGGAGCTGGCAACCGCAGTTGGTGTGAGAACTAAAACACAAACTCCTTTTTATGGTCATAAAAATACAGGGACTCCTCGACTTATGAACGAGTTGGGGTTCCAGAGGTCTGTACGTAAGTCGATTCGTTCGTAAGTCCAACTTTACTCCGGTCGAATCCAAACACGTTGTACGGCATGTACACTAAACAAGGGGAATGGCTAAATTTCGATTTAAAGCTTTCGTGACTGCAGGGATTCATCTTCTTGGTTCTTTCGGTAAAGTCATGTAGAATGGAAATAATAAAATAATAAAAATAAAACATAATAAAATAATTCTCACGACGTTTCGGCCACAACGCAAGCAGCCGTCCTCGGGTGAAGACCAGGTCTGTCGGGGAGACAGCGTCTAAATGACGCTATCTGAATGACGCTGTCTGAATGACGCTGTCTCCCCGACAGACCTGGTCTTCACCTGAGGACGGCTGCTTGCGTTGTGGCCGAAACGTCGTGATAATTATTTTATTATGTTTTATTTTTATTATTTTATTACTTCCCTTCTACGTGACTTTACCGAAAGAACCAACAAGAAGGGGAATGGCTTTACAAGTTGTATAATCTGACGATGTAGATGCCACTGGTTCTTTATGTACTGCAGATGTAGATGCCACTGGTTCTTTATGTACTGCATATGTAGATGCCACTGGTTCTTTATGTACTGCAGATGTAGATGCCACTGGTTCTTTATGTACTGCAGATGTAGATGCCACTGGTTCTTTATGTACTGCAGATGTAGATGCCACTGGTTTTTTATGTACTGCAGATGTAGATGCCACTGGTTCTTTATGTACTGCAGATGTAGATGCCACTGGTTCTTTATGTACTGCAGATGTAGATGCCACTGGTTCTTTATGTACTGCAGATGTAGATGCCACTGGTTCTTTATGTACTGCAGATGTAGATGCCACTGGTTCTTTATGTACTGCAGATGTAGATGCCACTGGTTTTTTATGTACTGCAGATGTAGATGCCACTGGTTCTTTATGTACTGCAGATGTAGATGCCACTGGTTCTTTATGTACTGCAGATGTAGATGCCACTGGTTCTTTATGTACTGCAGATGTAGATGCCACTGGTTCTTTATGTACTGCAGATGTAGATGCCACTGGTTCTTTATGTACTGCAGATGTAGATGCCACTGGTTCTTTATGTACTGCAGATGTAGATGCCACTGGTTCTTTATGTACTGCAGATGTAGATGCCACTGGTTCTTTATGTACTGCAGATGTAGATGCCACTGGTTCTTTATGTACTGCAGATGTAGATGCCACTGGTTCTTTATGTACTGCAGATGTAGATGCCACTGGTTCTTTATGTACTGCAGATGTAGATGCCACTGGTTCTTTATGTACTGCAGATGTAGATGCCACCACCACCATCTATTCCGCGGGGCGGTTGAACTTACGATTCTCGGTCCGAACAGACAACTGGACATACGGACAGGTTTGTTCGTATCTCTGAACGTTTGTAAGTCGAATGTTCGTAATTAGAGGAGTCCCTGTATTCCTATTTGCCACTGACATGAAATACTTAGTGCGTAAGATTAGCCACTTCATATATGGTGCACATTGTACGATTCCTTTCTTTTTACACACAAATCATTTGCAAACTGAATACCCTACTGCTGGAGGTAAATGAGGAGTTTGCATTAAGGATATAGGCATTGTCGGAATCAAACGCCTATGATTTACTTCACTTCGGGGCTCAAGGTGAAAGGTTGTTGCATGCTTAGAGAACAATAAACTTTGTATCTTTAAACACAGATTCCGACTGTTGTCCTGAACAAATTTGGTGTGTGGAGAGCGCTTAAGTACGACAATTAAATTTGTACTTCCTGCAGAATGAATTCCTGGAGTCGTAAGCCATAAGGCAGATTTGAAACACAGAAGGACCAATACTTCTGCCGTGGCGGATCATCATTTTAAAGCGGCTTGCTCACACGAACACGATCCGTGTTCGAACACGGTCTGTGTTCGTGAGGAAGGAGCCATCTGAGGATCCAAAAAAGAAAATCCAATCAAAAGCATCACCTTGCCATACATAGCAGGGGCAACCAAAAAGATTTCCAAAATCATCAACAAACAAGATCCAGGTCCGATTTAACGCAGTACGTAAAATTCGTGATCTGATCCTATCCGTGAAGGACAAGATTCCTCACCAGCAATATCCCAGCGTCTACAAACTAAGCTGTGTCTGCGGCAGCAGTTACATTGGGGAAACGAAGCGACATGCCTCGGACCGTGTCCGTGAGCACAAGGTAGATTTGAAACACGGTAAGACCAAGACAAATTCTACTCCTACAAGGAGAAATTGTCTTCTAGAAGTATAAAACTGGTAGGAACCTCCTGGTTTCACCAGCCCACAGGAGATTATTGTGTCCGTCGTGCATGGAGGGGCTGAGTGGGGAGGGTGGGGCTGGGTGGGGAGGGGCCGAGTGGGGAGGGTGGGGCTGAATGGGGGTGGGAGAGGTGGGGCTGGGTGGGGAGGGGCTGGTCACCCCGTGGTGCCCTTATAAAACTCAACGTTTAAGCTACTCACGCCGGCTTGTGCCCGACTTCAGTCGGTCATATTTGCGGAATACACCACGCCGCCGTTGACCCTGGCCATTGACCCAGCAACCCAACGTTTCTACCAGCTCCCTCCGCAGGAATGTGTTCTTCTCGAAGCAGAAAGAGTGAATTCTTGATTTGAAGCTATCGTGACTGCAGGAATCCATACTCTTTGGTTCTTTCGGTAAAGTCACGTAGGTAGAAAATAAAATATATCACGACGTTACGATTGCAACACAAGCAATCATCATCAGGTTGGAAAACCACAGCAAGAAAAAATGTCCCACTTCAGCAAACAAAAAAAATTCTTGTGGTTTTCCCACCTGATGACGATTGCTTGTGTTGCAATCGAAACGTCGTGATTTATTTGATTTTATACCTACGTGACTTTACCGAAAAAAACAAAAAAGTACGAACCAAAGAGCAGTGAATTCTTTCTAGATTTGAAGCTTTCGTGACTGCAAGATTCATACTCTTAGGTTTTTTCGGTAAAGTCACGTAGGTAAAAATAAAATAATAATTTTATTAATAAAATAATAATTTCATTTTTACCCCCCTCGTGCAAGAAGAATTCACTGTTAGGTTTTTTCGGTAAAGTCACGTAGGTAAAAATAAAACAATAATTTTAATAATAAAATAAGAATTTTATTTTTACCTACGTGACTTTACCGAAAAATAAAATAATAATTTTATTAATAAAATAACATTTAATTTTTACCTACGTGACTTTACCGAAAAAAAAAAACCAAACAGTGAATTATTCTTGCACGAGGGGGGGAATTGTTCTTCTGGAAGGGGACGTTGTCTTCTGGAATATTCCACTTCTGGTCCGTTCATCTTCCAGAGGCGGAGCTTGGGGAGAGGCCTTCTCGCAGCGCTCCCTGGCAACGCGAAGCGTCACAGCGACTCGTTCTCACCGCCACACAACGTTTACTTCTATAACTCAATAGTAATAATAAGCAAATACATTTTAACATGAGCTTCAAAACCCCCGACGCAAGGACAAGGTGAGAAAGATATCTGTGTTTTATTTTTTTTTTATAAAAATTTGACTTCGTACGTGCAGCCCAAGCACCCGTTGCGCGGTCGCCCTGCCGGCTTTGGTGCTCGGGTTTCCGGCGGAGAAATCAGGCGAGGTCGGGGATCGGTTGCGGCCCGAGTCGGGCTCGGCTCATACAGTAATGAGTTTTTTTACGCACAAATAACGGCAGACGTTCACCAAAACTTCAAATTACCTCTCCGTTTTGTTGCTATTGTTTTCTTCCATATAACATCACGGCAAGGGGCGTAATCCAGCAGCGGAGAGAAAATGACTGATAATGATGCGGAATTAAAACAAGTGATCGGAGCGTGTCGTTATGCGTTCACTTAAAATAACTTAACGGCGGGTTTATATATATATATTGTTTTAAATTATGATTTGCATACTGGCGCTATAATAATGACATTGACACCAACTAAAGTCTCACGGAGTCTCAAGAGCCCTTTGAAGGAGGGCCCTGCCGGATTGGGATGTGTGGACAAATCCATTTGCTGTAGATGCAGATTCTTTTGCTGACACGTGTAGTTTGCACGTTGGACTTCTTTCACACCGTACGTAGTCAACCACACGAATCGGTGGAAGGACAACAAACTAAACCCCCCAAAAAAAACAACTGTCTGAAAGAAATTAATTTGAGGAAACTGGAAAAACCCCTGAGAAAACAATTACTTCAAAACTTCGAAAAGAACAAGAACCCCCGCCACTCTTGTTGTGCTGGAGAAACTTAAAGGACAGAAACAAAATATCCTTTGCACAAAGTGGCAACGGTTAAGTCACCGCTTGTATATCAAAAACCCGAAGGCTAAAATTGAACAAAACGTGGAATGACAGCCGTTTCCTGTGGAATCACAGATCCACAGATCTGGAATACCAAAAAATAATTACACAAATATGGACTGACAGCGTACATCTTTAAAACCCCAAACCAAATCCTAACACCCGTTTCTCTAGTAGTGCCTGGTATTCTCATGTACAAATAAAAACGTTGGTTTAGCGTACTGCGCTACATATCTGATGACCCAATTTATATAATTCTTGGGCCTTCACAAGGTCGACTCAGCCATAAATGGGTACTGGGTACAATGTGCAAATATTACTTCTCGGAAGGTAAAGATGGGCGGGTGTGGTGCTGGTCACACCACCCCCTCTTGTGCCATGCCGGTCTTCATGTGTGCTCGCAAAGAGCACTTGGCCCAACAATCTGTTAAAATATTGTCCAGGAAATCTTTGTCTTTGTGTGGCTTAGCAACAAAGACCTCATCAGTAACCCAACCAAGGTCCTGGCGCCTCGCTTACCCCTGTATCGTATTCAGACATCGCACGGCCAATACGCTCACGGACACAAGTGGAGGATAAAAATCCTTCCACCTATGACTGCGGACCGGAACAACGGAGCATATGGCCATGCTCTACTCATTAAGACCACTGAACAGCGGCACAAAAACAATTTGTAAACCTAACAAGCACCTCCATTGAATCGCTAAAGAACCAAGGCATTGAGCTATAATATTTGTTGCTGTTCAAAACATGTTTTGCTTTACTTCTGCAACACGCCCATGGTGTGTGTCTCTGAACGTGTCTGCGTACGTGTGTCCGTGTGTGGCTTTACCGCGGTGTGACGTAGGGAGTCGCAGGCGAAGGCGGTGCAGCTGTCGGTGACCACCGTGGAGAAACACTTTGGAGAGTTGTGCCAATTGAGCGCCGGCTATGCGCGCAAAACGGCGCGACTGCGCGACAAGTCGGACCTGCTGGTGCGCGAGCTCATGGCCTACTCGGAGACGGAGCGCCCGTCTCTCAAGATGGGCCTTCGGGCCTTCGCCGAGGAGCTCTCCAAAGTGCAGGACTATCGGCAGGCTCAGGTGCTGCCACCTGTCCGTTCGTCATTTGATTAGATATGTACATATGCACACCTGTCAACCCCTAATCTTATTACAGACCAATTCAGACCTTATTGGTCACCCCGTGCCCTTATAAATCTCAACGTTCATCCCACAAAGTCCCGTCACAAGGGAGAAACACAAACAAATAGACAATTTAGTTTTTTGCTCACTTGGAAACGGCTGTACGCCGTATGGACCTGAAAACTCAATTTCCCTGTACAAGAATACGGGTAAAGCGTATGGGTTGACAGGTAAGAGGTGGATGGAGAGATGACCTTTGTAGCTTAGACAAGAGTGCATTTAAACCAAGTATTTGTCAAACAATGCCCCCTTTATCTGATAATGCATGTGACGGGCCTTCATTCAGCAGTGTATTGACAACAGCTTGTATAGTGTTCGAATTAAAATTAATCGTCAAACTAAACTTTGCATTGGTAGAGGGTGCTTATATGACAACGTTCTGCTATATCAGTGCCTGTAGAACTCCCACTGCGTGGAGCGAAATGGATGTCATGCCAAACAACACGTGGTACAACCCAAAAACAGATCTGAGAGCCGTGCAGCACATCCGCGAAAATCTACGCAGTAATCCTTTGTTGTGCCCATATGGTACAGACTGTGCTGCCGCAGCAGGTGCACGAGCCAGGTGCGTTTAAACTGTACTAATAAGGGCAAGCCCTACTGACATTAATGCACTGTTCCTTTCACACGTTTACAGGTTGAGAGGCTCGAAGCCAAGGTGGTGGAACCTTTAAAGTCATATGGAGCCACCATCAAGATAAAAAGGGTAAGGTCACGCATTACAAGCACAGTTAAAGTCAGTTTAACACGTAGGCTTTCGCGACCAATATTATTCCTTGTAAAGGTTTTGGGTTAGATCGCGTTATTTATAAATGTGTCATAACCCTCCACCATCCGACAGGGCCAATCAGTAAAAAATGTGTCACGTTTCCAAAGGACAAAAATTGCACTACCTTATCCCACCGGTGTGTTAAAGAGTGAATCAACATCATTTAAAATTCAACATCATTTAAATTATCTTGCAGAAATTTATAGCAGCCAAATATGCATGTTCATTCTAAATGTGGAGGGAAAAACTGGAGGACCTGGAGAAAAATCCACGCGACTACAGGGAGAGAGACACGCAAACTTCAAATATACAGGAATTGTCAGGTTCGGGATCGAACCCACGACCTCTTGTATACCAGACGACGTAGTTAACATCTCGTCACCGTGGCACCTTGTAAATATGAAGTGGCGATGGTGATGATGATCTTCTTGGTTCTTTCGGTAAAGTCACGTAGAAGGGAAGTAATAAAATAATAAAAATAAAACATAATAAAATAATTCTCACGACGTTTCGGCCACAACGCAAGCAGCCGTCCTCAGGTGAAGAACATGTCTGTCGATGATGACGCGCGGCCCCCCGTGTAGGAGGACCTCAAGGCCGTGCTGACGTCGCAAACCCGGGAGGCGAAGCAGATGCAGCAGCTAGAGAAGATGCGGCAGAGAAACCCGTCGGACCGACACAATATCGTATCCTTGCTGGCGCAGACCTCGCCTGAGAAAGGTCGACGCGACCGCGGGGAGAGAACGTGCCAACTCCACGCAGTAGACACGTGATGACGCGTATGCACACTTAATGTCGACCAGCGGTCCCCAACCTTTTCGTCACCAGGGACCAGTTTCGTGAAGACAATTTTTTCACGGACCGGGGGAGGGGGGTTCATCATTGGGTCTTTCTTTCCCCCTTTTCAAAGAAGCTCTCCAGCAACGTTTGTTTTTTACTCATTTTGGCTACTAGGGGTTAGCAGATTGTGGGCTTACCCACACTGTGACTGAGACAAGTGTGCAGTGCGGGAAAGAGGCGCGGACAGAAGTGGTAAATAATAAAACAATGGGGGCGGGCCACGCGCGGACTCACCGCTCACCACTATGCGGTGTGTAGAGTGTGTACACACACGGACTCGCCGCTCACCACTACGCGGTGTGTAGAGTGTGTACACACACGGACTCACCGCTCACCACTATGCGGTGTGTAGAGTGTGTACATGCACGGACTCACCGCTCACCACTATGCGGTGTATAGAGTGTGTACACGCGTGGACTCACTGCTCTCACCTCCTGCTGCTGTGCGGCCCGGTTCCTAACAGGCCACGGACCAGTACCGGTCCGCGGCCCGGGGGTTGGGGACCCCTGATGCAGACAACTCGAGTTGTCGTTCCCAGCGAAATCTAAGCACTCGTCGCATTCGTCAGTGCATCGAGCGAAGTCTTTTACACGTCAGCCGGCCGCGTCGACAACACATATCTACCGGCACAACACTGCAGTTCTTCTACCCTTAACCTTGCTTCCCGTTCGTCCAGTCTCAGGTACGTGCATAGGTCAAGGTGGGCACCACCGCTCACCACGAACAGCAGCAGGTTTATCCTCGGCCCAGCGGGGTTGTTGTGTTAATTGAGAGGGGCGAGGCGAGCGCCGCGGGTACACGTGGTGCAGGGCTTTTGTCGCAACGCTGAGAAGAACGTGGGATCATATTACCTTTTGTTTTGGCTCTCAGAGCGGCGCGGGAAAGGTACGTATTGCCCAGCCTGCGGGTGCGATCGCTGCGCTTTTAGAGAGTAGAGGATTCCCTCGTTATTGGCAAGGGAGACGTGCCGGATATGCTCGTTCATAGCAAATTTCTCGGATCATGATATTGGCCAAGGGTAATGAATTACCTTAAATATATAAATCACTTTCCCGCGTCACATTCTCTCTCATCACGCGGATAACTTGAATCACGGATAGCAAGTTCGTGAATAACGAGGGAATACTGTGGATGTGTTGAGGGCACGTTGTCGTCTGCGTGCTGCCTATAGGCTTAGTACCTGTCAAGGCTACGGTCAGTAGAAATCTGCAGAAGCACTGCTGTTTTTAAACGCTTAAAATGCATTGGTAAATGCACTGAAATGGGTATTCTTCATTCCACAGTACTGCAACTCTTGACGTGACAATTTATGATTTATTCACTCCTGATAATAATAACAAGAAGGAGAGAAGTTATTGTAGATCGAGTGTTAATATTATGGAGAATCTCATTGTAGGAAAGCCCCGAGTGACATTCTGTTGCTTCTGCATATTAATACTGACCCAGGAATATGCCCTCTGTCACCTCACTGCGCCTGTTTGCATAGACGATTGTTTCACTCTGCACATGAGTAATGCCATTGCACCATTTCGGCTTTTAACTCACTAAAGGGCACCCTCACCGGCTGTTGTTTCATCCATCCCATAGTGCCGTGCGGAGCTGTGTATGAGACAGGGCTGGCATTTGAAAGTGTCGCAAGTGTCACCAATTCATACCTGTCAACCCCTTATCAGTGCCTACCGTATTTAGACCTTATTATTCACCCCGTACCCTTATAAATCTGAACGTTCATCCTACAAAGTCCTGTTAGGAGGAAGAAACAAAAAAAATAGACAATCTTTTTTTAAAACTCAATTTCCATGTACAGGTATGCCAATTCTAGGATGTAATGTAACAAGAGCGGAGGACTCCTGACATGCAGCGTTAAGTGTTTCAAGTCGAGGCTAACTTTGGACAAAAGCATTGATTTCCGAAGACTGACTTTACCCTTCTCGAATCACCTTTGGTGTCGAGTTTTGCATGACCCCTTTGCGGTTATCCCCCTCGTAAACATCGCAAGCAAAATGTGCAGGCATGGACTCGTCTTAGCACTGCCTCGTATACTTTACTTGTGTACTCCGCGTCTTCTGTAGGCAGTAAAAACCACGTAGCATAATCGGCCTCGACTGAAAGACATAATATCCATTTGCAGCACCATATACATGGAAATCTTAAACCCTTATGCATCAGTGGGCAAAGCCTACAATCATGAACTAAACTAAACTATTTTATTTACCAGGTAAAGCCCACTGAGCTATTAACTCTTTTTTTAGAAGCGACCTGGCCACAAATGATAACTCAAAGAAGTGGTTTACGTGGGCATTTATAGCAGTCAAATAACCCAAACGCATGTTTCTAAATGTGGAGGGAAAAACCGGAGGACCCGGATAAAAATCCACGGGGAGAGAGACAACATGCAAACTCCAAATACTCAGCAGGTGTCGGGTTCGGGATCGAACCCACGACCTCGTGCATACCGGGCGAGGGAGATGACATCTAGCCACCATTAGAGGAGCCAGGAATTCGGTTCCCAAAGTCCGCGCTGAACGGCGGCTCTTGCGCGGTGACTCGCAGGCAGAGACGGAGCTGCAGCGCGCCACGGTGGACGCAGCGCGCTCGTCACGGCAGCTGGAGGAGACCATCAACGAGTTTGAGCGGCAGAAAATCAAGGACATCAAGGTGAAGTCCACCCTCTCACGAGCTGAACATGAGTTCACCCTCGCACCAGCTGAACATGGGTTCACCCTCGCACCGGCTGAACATGAGTCAACCCTCGCACCAGCCGAACATGAGTCAACCCTCGCACCAGCTGAACATGAGTCCACCCTCGCACCAGCCGAACATGAGTCAACCCTCGCACCAGCTGAACATGGGTTCACCCTCGCACCGGCCGAACATGGGTCAACCCTCGCACCAGCTGAACATGAGTCAACCCTCGCACCGGCCGAACATGGGTCCACCCTCCCACCAGCCGAACATGAGTTCACCCTCACACCAGCCGAACATGAGTTCACCCTCACACCAGCCGAACGTGAGTCAACCCTCGCACCGGCCGAACATGGGTCCACGCTCGCACCAGCCGAACATGAGTTCACCCTCACACCAGCTGAACATGGGTCCACCCTCGCACCAGCTGAACATGGGTCCACGCTCGCACCAGCCGAACATGAGTTCACCCTCACACCAGCTGAACATGGGTCCACCCTCACACCAGCTGAACATGGGTCCACCCTCGCACCGGCTGAACATGAGTGCACCCTCGCACCGGCCGAACATGGGTCCACCCTCGCACCAGCTGAACATGGGTCCACCCTCGCACCAGCTGAACATGGGTCAACCCTCGCACCAGGTGCGGGGGTGGGGGTGTGAGGGCAAAAAACTAAACACACAAAAAACAACTCCAAGGAAATTAGTTTTCAACATAGAAAGTGATGACAGCGACGACGGTGCCGATTTGCACGCCCCCTCCCTGTCCGCTGTGCAGAAGATCCTGTGCGACTTTGTGACGGTGGAGATGGTGTTTCACGCCAAGGCGCTGGAGGTGTACTCGCAAGCTTACCATCACATGCACGCCGTGAATGAGGAGAGTGACCTCGAGGTGACCGAGACAGCGATAAGGCATATTTGTGTTTACACTTCAGCACGTGTTACACAGCTGCGTAAGGTTTAACGGTTGTGCTCACCGGATGAGTTTTTCGGGGACGTGACTGCACGTTGCCGGGCGCGACATCCGATGGTTTCGCTCCACGTGCTCGACCCCACGACCTCCTTCGCGAACTAGATTGAGTTTCTTCCCACTTGATAATTGTTTTTTTTCCCTTTTATCTGGCAACAAAACTGACACCTTTTTTTACAAGGAGTCATGTTTGCATCGACCACAATACCTGCGGTCGGATTGCAAACAAAAAACACAACTCTGATAATGTATGCACTGTCTTTGAAGTTGATTGGTCTACACCCGAGACAGCTTTTCTTAGAGCCTAGTCTCACATGGTGTTGGACCAGATGACGCCAAAAGGTGTCAGTTTTGTTGCCAGATAAAAGGGTAAAAAACCAATTATCATATTTTGCTACTGGCAAAGGAGGTTCCAATGGTGTAAATCCTTCCCACTGGTTCAGGAAATGAATTCGCTCCCAAAAAGATGTTTGGCGTGACGCCCGATTATTTTTTATCCCAACATCTTGGGGAGATTCTTTGTGAAGTCTTCACTCGTGAACGGAGACTGCCGTTCGCAGTGCGGATACCGCTACACGCCAATTGACACTTTTTATTCGTACGCCGCTAACGAGCATCTTATATTTGCCATCGTAACTTGTACATTTGGAATGCTTTATTGGAGGAAATGTTAAATGCCCGTTAATGCATGCAAATTTTGGGTTTATTTTTGACAGGCATTCCTCAATACCCTGCGGCCCTCCGACTACCAGGCACGCCTTGACACGGTTCTGCAGAACTCTCAGTCCACCCTCAACGGCACCGGTTCGCCCCAGCCAATGGCAAGGTCTCAGGTACCGTGTGCGGCCTCATGGTATCAAACTCTTGAGATTTTTTATTTTATTTTACCAGGCTAAGGCCCTTCCGAGCTGTATATCTCCGAAGCTACCTGGCCATCACAAATGATGCAGCTCAACGCAGTGGCTTATCGCGTGGAGATTTATAGCGGCCAATTGCTCTAAACGTGTGATGTTGATCCTATATGTGGAGGGAAAATCGGAGGACCCGGGAAAAAATCTACGCGACCACAAGCGGAGGGAGACATGCAGACTCCAAATATACAGCAGGCGTCGAGGTCGGGATCGACCCCACGACCTCCTGTATACCAGGCGAGGCGTTATCTGCCTCGCCTGGTATACAGGAGGTCGTGGGGTCGATCCCGCCACTGGGGCGCCCCTGCCATCGTGTAACTGTTGGTACGCCGGACATGCAATCCAGAGGTTGCCAGTTCGATTCGACCTCCCGGCATGGCAGTTGAAACAACGGTGAGAGTTTCTTAAATCCCCTCCACTGCCCACTCAGCAGTGTGACTGCATACACCGCAGTCATTCGGCTGGCTGGTCACGTGTGGTGGGGTAAAGGGCGAGTTACTCGGACCCCTTTCAGGACGTTTGGCAAGCGTGGAAGTGTAGGCCAAATATGCTCGAGAAGGGCTTTCGAGCTTCCTGGAGTTGAAGGCCTTTCAGCGAGCAGTGGCGTGAGGGAGCAATTGCAGGGCTGTGCCTTTACCTTCTCAAAATGTATGGAACAGTCGGGGGGGGGGGGGTAATCACATGGCTATCACTATCCTCAATCGCAGCTGTGAAATATGTTTTTGGCAAATTCTACAGACGTGTATCATCCTCCTTAAGCGCTTTCATGAACGGATCTTTTTTCTTTTTGCAGACGGGTGCTGCTGGCACACAGCGCAACAACGCGAGGCGGTTGGAAGATGACGACGATGATGATGACGACGACGACGACGAAGATGATGATGATGACGACGATGATGATGATGAAGATGAAGACCAACTTCAGGACGTGACATCGGAAGACTTGGATAACCGGCAGAGTGGCAGTCGGCGCTAGATGATGAATTTCACACACAGTCAATGCCTATGAAATTGTAACATTTCATGTTTATAAAGAGCCCAGTGTAGAGACTTGAGTCACCAAACCTCATATAATTTCATTTAAACATTAAAATTTAAACTTGTCCCTTTACTTAAATGAACATTAGGCAGTATTCTGGGCCGGTGATGGAAATGCAGCATTTCTCTGGTGGGAACCAGTCTGTCCATAGTAGTTCTTATTTTATCCTGCCTGGAGTAATGATAGGCTGAGTGGATCCTTGATCACAATTTAAACTCAAGACATTTTAAAAGCTAATCGGATGCTCTGCCACTACTCCACATGGCTAGCCGTCTTTGTATTATTTTTGTATTTTTATCCCCCAAAGTGTTATCCTGATTGTGCTATCGGGGTCATGTCATGAGAAAAATTTCATAAGGAGCTCTAGCAAGCCGATTGAAGTGGACATCACAAAGATGCCTCTTGAGATCCCTTCATTTGCCCTCTGGTCCACACAAAATAACTCGGCAGGCTATATCTGTCCCTTCATATTAAAAAACCCCTCCGTAGAGTTGCACGTTAAACAAAACGGAGTATATTCTAGACCACACAGTGCTCGCTACACTTTTCCACCAGTAGGAGACACCCTTTGCCTGCAACAGAGTCTTGTTCAGCAACAGTTCTCCGAGCTATAAGTAATCAAAATTAATTGCGTGAATGTAATGGGGTTTCTTCTTTTTGTGTGCAGTCCATTGGCGACCATGCCTGAGATCCATAGGCTCACTCCACTTAAAAAAAAACTCGGTCTGTTAGCGGACTCGCTGGATGACGCGGCTGCATGGATTTAAATCCATGATCTCGGCAGCGCTGGCTCGGCCGCTCTTGATCTCCTGAGCCACTCCGGGCACCTTCCTGGTCCAGGCGTCTTTTTTTTGTTTTTAAAGAGGCGTTTGAACATACAAACCCATATGATGTCCGTCCCGTTTTAAGTGTCAATAAAAAAAAAAGATGCAGTGCAGTGCGATTGGACGTCGAAAAACTGACACTTTTTATTTTTAAAAAATTTGATGGCGATTTTAAGTGGCAGATTTTGGTGAGGAGCCTACGTATGTGAAGAATAAAAAAAATCAGCAAAATAGATTCATGTACCGGCTGCCAGCGTATTGGCAGCCAATCCAAGTACGGTAAAATTCCGCTTGATTGTCCCCATTGTCTACACTGGCCTCTTTGAGTAGATGATGTCTTCGTCTTTTACGCCATTCAATTGCCTTTGTGAGATGCCTCACATCGGTGCCAAAATCTTCACACATTCCATGCGTTTCGGTTCACGGGCGCGATTTAAGGTTCAACGATTGCAGCCTTTAGCGTAACCACTTCTGCACCATTGGTACCTCATTTGCCAGTAAAAAATATGATAATTGTTTTTTTACCCTTTTATCTGGCAACTAAACTGACACCTTTTTTACGAGGAGTCATGTTTGCATAGACCACAATACCTGCAGTCATAATGCAAACAAAAAACATAACTCTGATAATGTATGCACTGTCCTTGAAGTTGATTGGTCCACACCCGAGACAGCTTGAGACTAGGCTCTAAGGAAAGCTGTCTCGGGTGTGGACCAATCAACTTCAAGGACAGTGCATACATTATCAGAGTTATGTTTTTTGTTTGCATTATGACTGCAGGTATTGTGGTCTATGCAAACATGACTCCTCGTAAAAAAAGGTGTCAGTTTTGTTGCCAGATAAAAGGGTAAAAAAACAATTATCGTAACCACTTCTGTCATCGCTTTTCGATGGTTTGCTGCGCGATGTACAACCCACGCCTCTCCGGTGTGTTTCGCCTGGTCGTGTCGCGGTACGTCGGACATCTTTCCGATCGAAACGCGGTGCAGGCCGAAATCGCGTCGGAGAGAGATGTGCACGGCGCGGTCGTGACAAACCTACGCGGCTATGTAAAGCGCAGTTCCAATGTTTGTTCATTCAGCGGAAGGCACGCGTTAAAGTTATACCCTCGCCGCTGCTTGTCATATGCAAGTGTCGCATTTACAAGTTTGTAAATGCGGTCAACGTCGCTTATCCAAACTCGCGTATCCACCCTGACCAGTTAACCGCCCTCACCCGGTGCAGTATTTGCCCGCGTGGAGTAACTTGATCTTTTCTAAAGATGTATAAAGGTCCGACCTTTTTAACATATCTGCCGAGACCTCGGTCCCCCGGTGAGTCGGATATGCGACGTTGGACCGTTAGCAGGGCTTCTCAATCTCGCCGCCAACGATCGCAGTTTGCAATTCTACAAATCCTTCCACACGAAGGTAAACAACAATACAGAATGACAATGCAAATACATCGTTTGTTTCCCAGATTGTAGTTCTATATATATATATATATGACAATGTCTAGTTAAATGTAGATAATGCATATTTTGCAGAAGAGTTTAAGAATGTGCACTAAATGCTACACATTGGTATACTTTCATAACCTTAATCACCAAAATTTAAAAGGAAAATAAAACAAATTGTAACCATGTGACGGTTACAATGTAAAAAAAACAATGAAAAACGGACCATTTAAAGCATTGTCTCACGACAACGACCAAAATCTCCCACTGCAAACATCAAAAACTGAAAAAGTTGCCGGTGGCAAGTCGTCTGAACAGAGCACGCCAATCAAACACTATCCCTTCCCAAAACCTCCAGCCAACAGCGAATCAAGCAGCCACTCACCCTGACCCGAGGCTTGGGGGCTACATTCCTTTTCCTTAACGAGATCCGAATGGGAACATTCATTTCAAGTGGCCCTTGGTGGGTGCCGCACACCACCGCCGTTGTGTCCACCGATAACGCGAGAGGAATAACGAGAGGATTTCACCTTTTGCCACGATTGTGCGTTGCCCACGGAAGCACCCTCCGCCCGCCCGCCCGCTCGCAAATTGGCTTCCACTCGCAATTCCCACGCGTTTGGAGACGCTGTCGTGGATTATAATCAATTTCTCTTGCCCAGGAAAGCCACCCCCAGAGTCCCGAAGATTTCTGCCGGGAGTGTTTTGCATTTGGGATGTTTCGCCATCACCAGGTTTATTATTGTATTGTTTGTTTTCGCTGTGAGAGGAAACTGGGGAACTTGGAGGTCACCCGTGCAGAGAGGTGGGGGGGGGGGGGGCGAGAGGGCATACAAATTCCACACAGAAAGGTGAGTCAATCAGGAATCTAACCGAGGCCCTTTTTGCTGTGAGGCACGCGGTGTTAACCGCTGGTGTTACAGAGGTGCTTCTGTGGCCCTCTGGAACGCTCTAACGATATGAGGAAGCCACTGTAGCTTATGCACTTTTAACATCATCTAGATTGAGAACTCATTTCTTTAGAACTGCTTTTTGTGTTGTCCTTCCCACCGTACCTCCGATTAGCGCGGTTGGCTACGTACGGTGCGAAAGAAGTAAAACATGTACAATGCGCCACCCGATTTTGGGCCGCTTCAGAGTGACAGGCCTCAGGGGTCATAGGTTGCCCAACCCTTATTACCGCTCCTCAAATGCCAACTTCTGCCCCTTTGCCAAGGCCCCCCATTTACTGTCCGTCGTTTTGGTGTTCGTGGCACAAGTCTGGTACTGTAACAGTAAACTGGGACAATTCTTAAATGGTGATGTGTTAAGGTCAACTCTCTCTCGCGCTCGTGTGCGTGTGGTGTGTGTTAGCGATTGAGTATTTGAGGCGTCTGTGCACTGTTCCGTGCGTTGCTTTTTCCTTAATTCCATGGGCGTTTACGGTGTGTCACGTCTTGGTAAAAAAAATGAATGTAGCGCTGTAATAACAACAGTCCTTATTCACGGAAAGACTCGTTCGGCGTTAATGCGCCCATTTTCAGGAACGCGCTCACGTGGTGTTTATTTTTTGTTATGCATTTGAATTGCGGGAGGATATCGGGTTGACAGAGACAACCCCGCGAGTTGCCATCGATTCAGCCGCGGTCTTCGCAACCGCAGCGACGAACTCCTCGCCCAAAAATCGTCGCCGACACCTCTCGCACGATCCTGCGGTGCAGCAATCCATGCCAGCGGCTGCACACACCGCGAGATAAATCCATCGCTCCGTCACCGCGCGCTTGCAGCTGCCCGCTCCGTCATCGGTTCTTGACCGTCGGTCATCGTCCGCCTTGCAAAGTCACGTGTGCCTTGTGCGCGTACCCACTTTACAAAAGTTTTAGGGGGTTTTGCCTCGGAACCCCCCTTTGTACATTCTCGAATTCACGAGTCCCTCGTTCTGTCTCTCAACGCGTTGCCAAGTCGGCTTCTCTGCCAAGTAGTGCCGCAGGTAGTGTGACACTGCTAAAAAACACCCATATGAGGCAATAGCTCTGCAAGGTGTCTCCACGTGGTGAGTAACACACTTGCTGGACAGTGCTTGTCATCTTAAAGGCATTTTATTTAGTCTGCAATGAGTTCCAATGCACCTGGCAGTGTCTCCGCGTGATCCCAAAGCCAGTCGTATGTACATGTATGTTGAACTTCTTTTGCAACGTACGGAACCAATCGTGCTATTCGGAGGTGCGGGAAAAGTACAAACAAAACTATAAACATCAAAAAGTTCCAAAGAAATAAGTTTTAGATTAATGTCCGCATCTCCATGCCTGGAATTGAATTCTCAGAGTTATTGAAGAAGAACACCACTTTTTTTTCACGACAATTGGAAAGTTTAATGAAAAAGGTATCCCATGACCGCTTACACGTTGACGGCAAGGAGAAATATCGAGATGTGCAGAGGCCAAACTGAATAATTCTATTACACAGACATCCGCAAAACGGTTTGCAAAAGAATGAGAAATACATTTGAGAACGCAACACATTTTTCACGACTAAAATGTTTATGGAGCATTTCGTGCATATGGTATGCATTCGTAATTCGTTTTACTGGCGTGCCAAGTTTAGTTCAAATATAGTTTAGAGGAATTAATGGTTGAGTACTTTATCAAATGCATTCGTTTTGCATTCCATGTTCGGCATACTTTAAAACCGTTTGGAAAGTGCCACGTGCATATCTCAAATACACGAAGTGTATGCATCTCGTCCCCGTACTAACTTTTCTTTAATAGCTTTGTACTTTACTGCAATAGGTGGAGCGGTGGTGCAGTGGTTAGCACATTGCACTGTGAACCCAGCAACCTGATATCGATTCCTGGCCATGACCGACATGATCACAGTTTGGTCAAGTATGGTCAAACTACCCTTCTGATTGTAGGGCGTGGGGAGGCATTCATCCCGCAGTGGATTATGAAATGCTTCACTATAACATGGATCAGAGAAGTGCTTCCATTAACTAGATTCACGTGGCTTAAAACAGAGGCAGTCAAGCTGTGAGTTAATGCTATTCAGTGGGGGGGGGGGGGGGGGGCTTATTGTATACCTTGATTGACAGGCGACTAATAGCAGCATGAATTAATTGAGGGGTGTCCTGGAATAATCTACTGCCCTCCACTCTCACCTCCCGTCTCACTCCACTCCCCTCCACACACACTCTCCCAGCTCTTCCCCCCTCACTCCACTCCCCACCACACACTCTCCCAGCTCTCTCTATTCATCTCACTTTGCTCCCCCTTTCGCTCGCCCTCCTATCTCTCCCATCACTCCACTCGCCCTCCGTTACACGCACTCTAATACCTGTCCCCTCTCATCCGTCTACTCCCCAGACGTCCTTGCTGTTGACTCCCTTGCCCTCGTTCTAGACCAGGCTCAAGGCCGTCTACATTTTCCTCTATGACTGACCACTATTTCTGTGCATAACAACGCATATGGGAAGGGCGCTGTTAGCCACCATCTGTTACACGATATTCTATTACAGAATCGAGGAGGGGGGGAGGGGGTACACTAACCTTTTTTTATTTAGCAAGGAAGTGAGACACCAGTCACATAGCTTTTGAGTGTGCAAGTGGGTGAGGCCCCAAGCGTTTGGCTACATCGAGAGGGAGATGGATGGGGGGGGGGGGGCATTTAATTCCGTGCACCAAGGCGCATGCCAACCGCGCTGCGCCACTGAGACAGCGAGGAGGAGGTTGGCTGCTCGTCATCATCCGTCTGGAATTCCCTCTGCACAGTCGCGTCTGGCTTAAAGTAAGCATCAGCAGCAGCATTGAACGTGGGTGGTGGTGGGTGGGTCGATGGGGGCCATGGGGTGGATGGTCCCGTACGCGGCTTGATGTACTTTCGCAAATCCCCGCATTGTGCTGCACCTGGCTGCAGGTCGTCGAGCGAATCAGCATTTGTTTTTACTCGCGAGGTAGGGAGAGGGCGACACGGCTGACATTGTGATTTGACGGTAATGCTTGTTGGGGTTGAGTGATGATGACGACAGTGATGATAATAATAAGATTATGACGATTCAGTTTTCAGTTTAATTTATTAGGATTTTCCCGGTGAGCCATTCGGCTCTTGATTTGGGTTCAACCGCAACAAACAATACAATTACAAGATACACCTAAAATTCATGGCAGTGATGCTGCTGCTGATGATAATGAGGTTGGCAACTGTGATGATGATAATGATGACGGTAGCGACAACGGGCATCGTGAGAATAATGATTGCTATGGTGATGATGACGAGGGTAATAATAGTGGTCGTGATTATTCCGATCACGATGACGTCGCTGCGAGAACATCGGCTACATTACTCTCAGCCCGCAAATATAAGGGGTGATCCATTTATCGATACCACACCGATTTTCTAATGAGCCTCTTTCTTCCCAACAGGTGATTGAATTCCGTGAAAGCGAGGGGTCTTCCTTATCTTATAGGGGCAAAGGTTCAACGATTGAAATCGCTGAGGAAGATGTAACATTATTTTGAGGGTGAGGGGGGGGGGGGTGCTATTTTAGTGATGTATCTATAATAGGATCACCCTGCATAACATTCCCATCACAACCAGAATACATGAATTGACACTGGAATCCGACGAGCGATCCATCAATTAACGGCAGCCACCCCCTTAACACAAAACCCCTTCGTCGAGTCATCGGCAGTGGCCACGGTCAACTTCCCCCTTTTGCTGGATGAAGGCCCCCCGCTCAGTTGAAGAGCAAGAAAAATTCATCGCAACCCACCTGCAACGCCGCGTTCCATTCCTAGGGCTGGCCTGCCGCTCTTGCTGTTATTCTGAAACCATCATCCGTCATCCCCCTCTCTCGCCCTCCACGTGCTTTGCCCCAATCGCACCAATTCCCCTCCCTCCTCCACCTCCCTCCCCCCCCTGTCTACCCCACTTTTAATGATGTCATTAACCAGCACGCGTTCTCTAATCCTACTGCTTGTCTCTCCGTATAATTATAATCTCACACACACACACACATCTCTCTCTCTATTTACACTGTCTTAACGCTTTGAAATATCGTCATGGATGGCCATCTTCTTGGGTGTGAGGCGCTCTTCATCCAGCAGTGGATCGAGCATGGACTGCTGATGACGACGATGGCGAATGACCCTCTAGTCTCGGTACGCGTAATGAGATCCTTTACAGCTGCTCCCCATAAATCACGGCGCAATGCATATTTAGAGGAATACAAAATTGCTTATTAGGGGGTCGTGGGGCTGAATCACAGCCGAAATGTTAACGCTGGCGCACACCCAAAGACAAAGGTCCCATCCCCACCGTTATAGCCTTAAGACTGTTAGGAGCAAGTGCTGTGAGCGGGTAGCGGCCCCCTAAGAAGGCCGTCACGTCGCACGAGATGTGTGTGTGTGGGTGGGCCAGCACCACCCTCAGGGCCACCTACGTCTGCACCAGTAGCGATGCTTTAACACACCGCACCCAGACTACTCGTTCGAGGCTGAGTCGACCTAGGGGAAAGGGCGCAGGACCGGTTCAAATCATCGTCACTGGGGTGTTGGTGGCCGTGGGCGGGAATGGAACTCGGGTTGGCCGGGGTTCGTAGCGCAGCGCGCTGTAACTCGCCACGCGCTTCAGATCTCCGTCTCGATCCGAGCCGTGCAATAGCTGTATCTTGGCAACAGGCAACACAAACAGCGGCGACAGCTGTTGTTGGTGTCAAAACTCGTGCCTCTCGAAGACAGCAAACAGAGTTAACGCGCGTGCGTGCGCGCGCACTCAGAACGGGGAGTTTCGCCCCCTTTTAAGGCTGATGGCACACCAACGCTTTAACTCAGCTGGAATATTCCAGAACGCTGTTCCAGGAAATGTTCAGGGATTCCCCTCTCCACCCCCCCCCCCCACTTCAGTTTTGGTGATGAACCGTTTCGTGGGATTATACGAATGTAGTAGGGTAGAATAATATCATATCGGATTGTTACGGATATGCATATGTTGTATTGTAGTGGTAGTGCCTTACGCCGATAATTCCATATTTCCCAAAGCAGTGGAGCAGGGTTTCGGGGAGATATCGAGCGACAAATGAAGTCCTGGATGTTAACGAGCCAAATCAAGAACGACCCGGCCGCCTTTGTCTTCCCGGGCTTTTGGTGGTGATACCAGGCCGCAGGAGGTGTTCATTGTTAGGGCTGGGTCGACCTTTAATCGTCGTGGTCCGGTGCAGGATGTGCATGGCCGTGAATATTTGCACAGAAATGACAGACGGAACGCAGACACACACACACACACACACGCGCGCACGCACTCACCCACAAACCATACGAGCCATAAAATAAAATAAACGAACAATGTAAACAAATCCACACGCTCACAATTAACAAAAAAATATACGTACACAGACACAAAGACAAAGATCCCCCATGTAGCCTTCAACAGACGGTTAGGGCAAGTGGCGTTCGCGAGCACCTTTGTCTTCCCAGCGCTGATGCGTACGCATCACCCCAGGCGCTGATTTTAGGCTGAGTCTACGTAGGGGAGGCCCACACGCACAGCGCACGAGCGGGTGGATGTAGGCCAGAACCACGCCCCGGCCACCTTTGTCTTCCCAGCGCTGATGCGTACGCATCACCCCAGGCGCTGATTTTAGGCTGAGTCTACGTAGGGGAGGCCCACACACAGACACAACACACATTTAGAATGAGAACATCCACTCGGTGTGAGCCGGGCGTCATGTTGCCACTCGAGAATGCTCCTTAATTACCGACAGAAGTACATCGTTGTGGGGGTGCGTGTGTGGGGGGGGGGCGGTAGCGCACTACTCTACGAAGCAAAAACAGTGGCTAATATCTGCACGGACCTCTCCTAGGTCGACTCAGCCTTAAATGAGCACCTTGGTGCGGTGTGTAAACATCGGCACTGGGGAGACAAAGGCGGCCGCGCATTGGCTCTGGCCAACCTCACCCCACCCCACCCTCCCCTTCGCGTGCCGTGGGCGGCCTTCGACGGTTGCTCGCTGTACAGCACTTGCCCCAACAGTCTGCTGAGACTATACGGGGAAGCTTTGGAGGTGGTGATGGGATTCCGTGCGCGGACGCGATGATGTGCAGTTTAATCAGCGTTGTGTTCGGGGAGTGGAGGGGGGTGAGATTGAGAGGGGGGGGCAGGACACGCATCCCTCCCTCCCCTCCCTCCCTCAACACTCACCCCACTTTCTCTCTCTCCCTTACCCCCCACTCACTCACCCACCCACCCACTCACACACCCCTTCTCTCGCTCGCTCGCTAGTATAAAAACTCAGAGCGCAGAGGAGGAGAGAGAGAGAGGCGGAGTGAAAGCAACCGATGTGTTTTTTGGTGATGTGAGTCAGTGCAGCAGCAACAGCCACCTGTGGGTTTGTCGTCTATAAAGCACAGTCGATCAGAGCGCAGTTGGGATAAGCGACGGTGCGTTGTACCTTACGGGGCGTTGCGTCAGCAGTGCGCGTGTGCCAAGTCATAGGCGACACATCTTCGAGTGACGCGGGGGGGGGGGGGGAGAAAGCGTTGCGTGCACGCCAGGCTAGTTGCGGACCACGAGGATACACACGCGGGCACGCTGCGTGCGCGCCTGCTGCTGTTTGCACCGACGGTGATCGCCCATTTACGGTCGACCGTTCGGCCGAGCATCGTTCGTCCACTCCCAAGTAAGTGCCACTTTCAACGCATTCTAAAATCGCACCTCGGCATGAATGCACCGCGCGCGGCTGCAAAGTTTGAAAGGCGCCGTTTTCGGTGATGTTGCGTTGGCTGTGGCGCGCGAACACAAATGACGCGAGCCACGTAACGCAACGCACGCGCAGTGGTCTTAAAAGGAAAAACATCGTATCGTGGGCGACGTTTCGGGCGACGGGGCATTTTGTGCGCGCGCGCGTGTGTGTCATTGTTGCAGCAGCAACAACAACAGCAACAACAAAGAACGTCTGCGGCGACCCGAGTTCGAATCTCGGCCACGGCTTCACGTCCGTTTGGCGAGTGATTGTCACACACCGAGTCGCATCGTCGCGAATTCGTGCCTGGCGAGCGGCGTGCGCGGTGAAGTATGGTCAAACGACCCTCCACCCGACCCACGATCGCGACACGGCCGCGTGGGATCGAGGACTTTGTCCAGCAGTGGATTGACAACGGGGCTGTCTGTGTGTAACATTTGCATACGCAATGCGGGGGGGGGGGGGGGGTGTGCTTGTACGCGATATCATATTCGGTGAAGATTATTTTAGCGGATCGGGTTTTTGATTTAATTCGTTCTGCGAGGGATGGAGAGATTTCCGCAATTCTGTACGGCGGATACAAGACGCAACTTTGTTTTCCGGATTATAAGGCGTGTTTCATGATCCAGGAGGTGTGTGTCACTAGATTTATACTACTCAATTGAATAAACTAAAACTGAACATTTTTATAGTATTTTGCCAGGTAAGGCCCACTGAGCTGTATAGCCCGTTTTCAGAATCGACCCGGCCACGAATGATAGCTCAACCAAGTGGTTTATCATCGTCTTCATCACGTGGAAATTTATAGCAGCAGCGACATACTCTTTAAACGGAGGACCCGGCGAAAAATCCACGCGACCACGGAGAGAGAGAGAGGGAACAGCCAAACACCAAATATACAGGCATCTTCAGAATCGAGATCGAACTCACGACCCCCTGTACACCAGGCGAGGTAGTTAACATCTCGCCACCGTGACACTGAACCATCCCCACCCCCAACGTCTGGGGCACGTCTTACTTTCCAGAGCGTCTTATAATCCAGGGAACATATGGTCGGCGAGCTTGATGCCAGTCTGGTTTGGGTGAGAATTGTGGTGTGTGTGCTGTGATGTTCGTGTCATCATCATCATCACCACGATCCATGGGCTGATTTCCCGGAAGGCATCCACTGCAAATGTCGTCATTTGTTTCCACTTCCCTTCTTGTCTTGTGTCAACATGGCTCAAATTTTAGTGCAGTAAATGGATGAAATTTGTTCACATGGATGGGGAATATCCCTGACGATATTTCAAAGTGTTAAGACGACGTCGAGAGAGAGAGAGCGATCGGCGTTCTTGGAATCATTACCGTATATTGAGATAACGAAAGAGGGACACGTGGCTTAGATATGTGTGTGAAAGAGCTTTATAGCTCATCGGATTCCTCCAGTACGATTCTGAGATATCAAGATCCATGGGCAGATAGCCCGTAGATTCGTCCACTGCACACGTCCTCATTTCTTTCCACCATCCTCTATCTTGGTCCAATGTGGCTCAAGTAGCGGCCAAATCATTCTGACACCAATCTCTTATATCGTCGTCTGTTAGGTGTTCCTCTATTTACCGGTTAATTAAAAATTTCCCGAACAGCAACAGCAATAACAACGATTTAAAGCTTTCGTGACTGCAGGGATTCATCTTCTTGGTTCTTTCGGTAAAGTCACGTAGAAGGGAAATAATACAATAATAAAAATAAAACATAATAAAATAATTCTCACGACGTTTCGGCCACAACGCAAGCAGCCGTCCTCAGGTGAAGAACAGGTCTGTCGGAAAGACAGTTCATTCAGACACTGTGGCCGAAACGTCGTGAGAATTATTTTATAATGTTTTATTTTTATTATTTTATTATTTACCTTCTACGTGACTTTACCGAAAGAACCAAGAAGAGCAATAACAACAGCAACAACACAATTTTAACGACGTGCATTGCACGTTATTAAGAACACACACATTGATGAACGACGCCATGCGCGTGACGTGAAGAAGACGTGTTCGAGAGGGTGGCTTTGGGATGCGACGAGTCGCCACATCAGGAGTGAGTGATGGATAGTCGGTGGGCGAGACTAGTCACGGAACGGCAGCCGCGAGACGGAGCGCGCCAGGAGAAGGCCGCTGGGAGCGGAGACGGAGCGATAATTTGGAATCTTTTTTGACTTGTCCTGGAGAAGGAATCCGATGAACTATGAAGCTCTTTATATTTTTTTTCTCACAGATGTCCGGTAGGGGGGCATCGGGGTTCGGAACGTCGCAACAAGCAATTAGAAAAAAACACGATAAGAGTGCTAATTTATAGGCAAGATAAACAAATCACTTTTTAAAAAAAAACACACCATAAGAGTGTGATGTCGCGACGCCGTGAGAGACGACGATGGATTTGTGGCGGGAAGGCCTTCATCCAGCAGTGGATGGATCACGGTCGACGATAAACGGCAGTGCACGCCGCGGTAGTAAATGGTAGGACACGCGCCTGCGTGTTCACGCGTCTTGGCAAGACGTTACGATCAAAGTCGGGTGGTGGAGGGCTATTGACAAGAATGTCGGAATACAACAACAACGACCACCAACCACGTGGCCTGTCCCAGACACAACTGCGGATCGTCGCATCGACGATGACGACCTGTGTGGGTTATATTCACATCTGGAGCATTGGAGCATTTGTTCTCTACCTTCTTGTTGTTATTGTTGTTATGGCCGGGCCCCCCAATTAAGACGACGCCCCCCCCCCAAACTCGAGGTTTTTATGGCCACGCGTTTACGCCCCGAGCGAATGCGGTGTTGGGAAGGCATTTGTGTCACGTGCCGTGTTAGTGTGTTCTGTGCTGGTAGGGCATTTGTGTCACGTGGTGTATCGGCGTGTTCTGTGTTTACTGTGGGGGGGGGGGGGTCACGGATTAAGAACGGCTGCTCCCCCACAGTTCTCACGCATACCATTGCTGCAGGTGGTGATTGACAGCTTAATGGGCCGCATACGAGGGCTAATTTTGCAAGCTACATTTGAACAATCATTGTAATTTCAAGCACTTTTGTCAATGCACTGCTGTGATGCCACACACACACACACGTGTGTGTATGTGTCGTGCACGTATGTATGTGTCGTGCATATGCCACACACACGCGTGTGCACGTGTGTATGTGTGTCGTGCATATGCCACACACACACACGTGTGTGTGTGTCGTGCATATGCCACACATACACACACGTGTGTATGTGTGGTGCATATGCCACACATACACACACGTGTGTATGTGTCGTGCATATGCCACATGCACACGTGCCTGATGCTGCGCGTATTGCACGCTGCATGTCAGACGAACGAGGCCACTCGAAGCAGCGACGCGCATACAAAGACAAAGATCCCCCGTCTAGCCTGAACAGACGTATGGGGAAAGTGCTGTTAATGAGTATCCATGAAGGCCGGCAGGGCACACGAGGGGTGGGTTGCCAGCACCACGCCCGACCGCCTTTGTCTCCCCAGTGGCGATGTTTACACAGCGCACCAGGTACTCATACTCATTTGAGGCTGAGTCGACCTAGGGGAGATTCAGGACCGGTTCAGATAATGGTCACTGGTGTTGGCCGTGAGTGAGAAACGAGCGCGCTAGCCGTTGCACAATTACACCCACACACGACACTAAACACACCACACACACGACACCCCACACACACCACACACGCACCACACACACCACACACAACACACACACCACACACACACACCACACACACCACCCACACACACACCACACACACGACACCACACACACACACACACACACACACCACACACACCACACACACCACACACACGACACCACACACACCACACACACCACACACACCACGCACCACACACACCACACACACACACACACGACACTAAACACACCACACACACGACACCCCACACACACCACACACACACGCACCACACACACCACACACACACCACACACGCTCCACACTACACACACAAGACACCACACACATACACCACACACACTACACACACACACACACCACACACACGACACACCACACACATACACCACACACACGACACTAGACACACCACACACATCACACACCACACACACACCACACACCACACCACACACACCCTACACCACACACACCACACACACCACACACACCACACACACCCCACGCACACAACACGAGGCTGAAGAGACGTGCATTGTTGCAGGGGGTGAGTGTCTACTCAAGGCTGACTCCTCAGGCTGACTCATCCCGCATGCACTGGGGGGGCGTGAGCGGGGGCCGGGGGGCGAGGGGGGGGCGAGTGAGGGGGGGGCTAATGGGGGGGCTCTGTGCAGGGATGGAGAGAGCGGTGGTGGTGGAGGTGGCGGTGGGGGCTCCGTCAGCAGCCGCATGAGTCTCCATCATCTCGACGGCGGACAAGGGAGAAAAGATTCACCCCGTGGACAACAACAATGACAATTTACACTAAAAACTCGAATGATTCATCGAGTACACTGCCCCTAAAGGGAACACAGTAGCAGCAGCAGTAGTATTGTTATTATTATTCAATAGGCGGTGCCAGTGACGAATGCGCTGATTTGGTTTGTGCTCGAGCACCACCGCCAACGCAGAAGAGTCTCGCAGTGACAATGGGCATCGATTTCCACGTCCACGGCGTCAGACGTGCGACCGACCATACTTCACCACCACCGTGCGCGTCGGTGACGTCAGTGGCGGGAGGTTGCCACCCGCCGCTGACGTCAGCCGTGGTCTGGGGGATCGAGGCCCGGGGAGCTGCGTAATTGCGGTGCGCTAACCGCTGCGCCACCGCTCCTCTGCACCCCCCCCGCCCCCAGCAGCAGCAGCAGCAGCAACAAGACGATAATTGTTGGTGGCTTCAGTGGCGCCGCCAGTAGCAGTGAAGTGTCACTCGGGTCGTCTCGGCGCCTCGCCGCGCGATTTCTCGCGTCCACGCGTCCCCGCCTCCTCGCCGTGCGCGGCTCCTCGCTCCACGAGCCGCGCCAACGAGACGCGCCGCTCGGCTCCGTGGAAATTCCACGTTCCTATGGCGCAATTCAGTTGGCGGTCGGCGTTTGAAGTCGACTGCGACCCCCCCCCCCCACCGGTGTCCCCCCCCGTAATTCCCCCTCGTGATCCACCCCCGTGATCCCCCCCCCGTGATCCCTCTTCCGTGATCCCCACCACGTGATCCTCACCTGTGCCCCCCTCGCGATCCCCCCCCCCCGTGATCCCCACGTGACCCCCCCCCCCCCCGTGATCCACCCCCGTGATCCCCCCCCACGTGATCATCCCCCATGTGATCCCCCCCGTGATCTCCCTTCGTTATCTCCCCCACGTGATCCTCCCCGTGCCCCCCCCTCCGTGATCCCCCCCCGTGATCCCCCCCACGTGATCATCCCCCATGTGATCCCCCCCGTGATCTCCCTTCGTTATCTCCCCCCGTGATCCTCCCCGTGCCCCCCCCCCCCGTGATCCCCCCCCGTGATCCCCCCCGTGATCCGTTGATCGAACAAACCACTCGAGACTCGGGTGCATTGGCAGCAGCAGCAGCTTTAGAGAGAGAGGAGGAGGGAGTGAGAGGAGCTGTCGCCAAGAGGTCCACGCGCGTTCGTCGCTCCGCCGCTGCCGCTGACGGCGCCTGCCACGGACGAGAGCGGGTGGCCCGTGCGTGGCGCGACCCCCGCGGGGAATTCGGGCTATTGACAAGAATGTCGGCATACAACAACAACAACGACCACCACCACGTGGCCTGTCCCAAACACAACCGCGGATCGTCGTTTCGACGATGACGACCTGTGTGGGTTATATTCTTAGGTTTTTTTTCGGTAAAGTCACCAGGTAGGTAAAACATTACAATTAATAAAATAAAATAAATTAAAAATCACGACGTTTCTTAAAGTCTTAAAGTCACTTTATTGTCAAGTGTGTTACATGCATGACATACAACACAGATGAAATTACAGTCCTCTCTCTTGGTCCCACGGTGCAACCAAGCAATTAAAAAATTAATCACAATTAACAGACATAAATAAACAATAAACAATCGGCGATCAACACAAGATAAATAATCAAAAATGTAATAGACTTAAAATAAACAACAGTCAAGAATTTTTTAAATGTAAAATATTATTTAAAAAAAGTATTTAAAGAAATAAGATATTTAAACCAGTGTGATAGTGCGATGTAGTGCAATGTGCAGTCCAGAGATCAGGATGTACGAGTGAATGTGTGTGTGGGGGATAGGGTCAGGGGGCAAAGGGGGGTGGGTGGGCAGAGGGGGGGAGTGATGGTAGAGCAGGGAGGGAGTTGAGTCTCCTGACAGCCTGGTGAAAGAAACTGTCTTTGAGCCTGCTGGTCCTGGCTGGAAGACTCCGCAGTCTCCTCCCTGACGGCAGCAGGCTGAAGAGGCTGTGAGATGGGTGGGTGGGATCACCTGCAATCTTGATTGCTTTGCTGGTGATGCGGGTGTTATAAATGTCCAGTAGAGGCGGGAGAGAGACACCAATGATCCTCTCAGCTGCTCTCACTATGCGCTGTAGAGTCTTGCGGCAGGACACGGTGCAGGTGCCGTACCACACGGTGATGCAGCTCGTCAAGATGCTCTCAACAGTGCCTCTGTAGAAGGTGTGCATGATGGGGGGCGGGGCTCCTGCTCTTCCGTCTTCATGTGGAACCGTCACAGCCACGACAGCTGTATCAAGTAAATGAGAGATTGCAGGAGCTACCACTCCGTTTATATAATGGTTGGAGAGGGGGGAAGGGCCAAGTACAGCACACTTTTTATATTCACATCTGGAGCATTGGAGCATTGGTTCTCTACCTTTTAGCCCCCCCCCTCCCAATACGTTCCATTCATTGGCTACCACATTCAGATAAGCCCCTCCCTCCTCCCCCCCTTAACTTTTATTTAAGAACTTGTATCTTGGAATCTTTGCCCCACTTGATACAGCAAATCTAGCTGTGACGGTCCCACCTGATGACGGAGACTTGTGTTGCCTCCGAAACGTCGTGATTTATTATTTTATTTTATTTCTATTATTACTTTTAGTAATTTTATTTTTTATCTACGTGACTTTACCGAAAAAAAAACCTAAGAGTATGAATCCTTGCAGTCACGAAAGCTTCAAATCTATAACTAGGAGATGTTGACTACCTCGCCTGGTATGCAGGAAGTCGTGGCTTCGAATCCGACCCTGACGCCTATATATACGGAGTTTGCATTTTTCACTCTCTCCCCGTGGTCCGAGTGGGGTTTCCCTTGACATTTAGAATCAACATGACGATAAGTCACTTCGTTTCGTTGAGCTTTCATCTGTGGGCCACATCACTTCTGAAAAATATCTATACAGCTCGGTGGGCCTTACCTGGTCAAATAAAACACCGTTTAGTTTTTATGTTTTTCAAACAACGTCTTGAGTCCAGAACTGACCACGAGCAGGGAGTCTACAGCACGAACGGCTGGGGGAAGGGAGTTAGAGACATTGGGGCCAGCAGAAGAGAATGAGCGACCTCCCCCCCCCCCCTCGTATTCCCTTCCCCCTCCGAGCGAAGGTTGACTGAGGCTTTCGAGAGAAAGCCGTGGGTGCTGGAGCGGAGAGATCGTCAAGGGGATTAGAAGGAGGCGAGAGGTTGGAGAGGTTGGAGAGTGCGTGAATGGGAGGGAATAGCAGCGAGAGGGGAGAGTTTGGATTGCGTGGAGGGGAGGGAGTCGTGGCTGGTCCCCCACAGTTCCCACGCATACCATTGCTGCAGGTGCTGATTGACAGCTTAATGGGCCGCATGCGAGGGCTAATTTTGCAAGCTACATTTTAACAATAATTGTAATTTCAAGCACTTTTGTCAACGCACTGCTGTGATGCCACACACACACACACGTGTGTATGTGTCGTGCACATGTGTGTGTGTCGTGCATATGCCACACACGCACACATGTGCACGACACACACACACGTGTGTATGTGTCCTGCACGTGTGTGTGTGTGAGGCAGACAGGCGTGAGCTCGCCTAGTTAGGATTCTGTGTCCGCTGAGTGTCTGCGCGTTGAACTTCTCTCGCAACGTTCATAGCCAACCGTGCGAATCGGAGGTGCGGGGGAAGAACTACAAACTCGACACACACAAACAAGCGCGTCCTCGAAGTCGACCCCACACGCCCATGGGTCTGGGATGTCGAGGGTGACGCAGCTCTGGAGATTGCGTCCTCCGGGACCTGCGGTTTCTCCCTCCGCATTTTCGAATCAACATCACGCGTTCTCTAGTAGTTGGCCCACTGCTAGACATTCCCACGTGACGATAGGCCACTTCGTTGAGCTGTCATATTACCAGGCCGTACCTGGTCAACTAAAAAAAAATATTTAGCAGTTAGGGTGACGCCGGGTGTCTGGGACCCCGAGGGTGACACCGGGTGTCTGGGACGGCGAGGGTGACGCCGGGTGTCTGGGTGTCTGGGACCACGAGGGTGACACCGGGTGTCTGGGACGGCGAGGGTGACGCCGGGTGTCTGGGTGTCTGGGACCGCGAGGGTGACGCCGGGTGTCTGGGTGTCTGGGACGGCGAGGGTGACGCCGGGTGTCTGGGTGTCTGCGCCCGCGAGGGTGACACCGGGTGTCTGGGCTCGCGAGGGTGACGCCGGGTGTCTGGGTGTCTGTGCTCGCGAGGGTGACACCTGGTGTCTGTGCTCGCGAGGGTGACACCGGGTGTCTGCGCCCGCGAGGGTGACGCCGAGCGATCTCTGTCGCGACGGGTGTCTGTGCAGGATGACTCTGCACAAGTCGGACAAGCTGCGCAGCCTGGAGAGGAGGCGCGGCAGCACCCCGCTGCCCCTGGCGCACCAGCGCCGGCGGCAGAGCGCCGCCCTGCAGCAGCGCGCCTGCCCCCCCGACGGACTCGACCCCGGCAGGGCGGCCGCGATGGTGGCGGCGGCGGCAGGCGCCCGGGGCCCCGGTGGCGGAGTAGGAGGGAAGGGGTCGGCTCGCTCCTCCGCGGCGCCGGCGGCGTCGGCGGGGGAGCACCGCAGCAGCTGGTCGTCCGAGTCGGCCGACTCGGTGCTGTCGGGGGGCAGCACGGAGGCGGCGGGCGCCGTGTACCGCGTGCTGCTGCTGGGGGACGCAGGCGTGGGCAAGTCGAGCCTGGCGTGCGTGCTCGCTGGCAGCGAGGACGCCATGGGCTCCGACTGGGAGGCTGACTTGGGTGCGTGGTGTCTGTGTGTGTGCTTGTGTGTGTGTCTGTGTGTGTGCGTGGGTGTGTGTGCTTGTGTGTGCGTGTGTGCACGTGTGTGTGGGTGTGTGCGTGTGCTTGCGTGTGTGTGTGCTTGCGTGTGTGTGCCTGTGTGCGTGTGTGCGGGGAGTGGTAGTGCAGCGGTGAGCGCTAAGCTGCGCTTCGAACCCAGCGACCTGAGTTCGATTCCCGCTCACGGCCAACAACACCGGCGACGATTGTCTGAATCGGTCCTGGGCCTCCCCTAAATCGACTCGGCCTCAAATGAGTACCTGATGTGGTGCGTAAAAACATCGCCACCGGGGAGACAAAGGCGGCCGGGAGTGGTGCTGGCCACCCACCCCACTCGTGTGCCGTTGCCGGCCTTCAAAGGTGCTGCTACTTGCTAACAGCACTTTCCCCGACCAGTGTGTTAAGGCTATATGGGGGATCTTTGTTTTGTGTGTGTGTGTGGAGGGGAGGGGTACGAACCCGGCGACCCGAGATAGATTCCCGCTCACGGCCACCAACACCACCAGTGACGATTATCTGAACCGGTCCTGGACCTCCACGAGGTTAACTCGGCCTCAAATGAGTACCTGGTGCGGTGCGTAAAAAAAAAAATGCCACGAGGGAGACAAAGGCGGCCGGGCGTGGTGCTGACCACCAAACCCCCATCGTGTGCCGTGCCAGGCTTTCATAGGTGCCACTCGCTAACAGCACTTGCCCCAACAAGTCTGTGAAGGCTACAAGGGGGCTCTTTGTCTTTGTGCGTGTGTGTGCGGTGTCGTGCAGAGGACACGTACGAGCGGACCGTGTCTGTCGACGGCAACGAGGCGACGGTCGTCATCCTCGACACGTGGGACCAGGTACCATTGCGCGCTGCCCTCTTTGTTCTTGCCTGCGTCCAGCAGTGGATAGAGAACGGCTGACACGCGTGCGATCACCAGCGGTGGAAGCGCGCGACAGACGCACTGCGAGCTCTGGCCTTCGTACCCTCCAAACCCGAGTTCTACTCGGAAGCACCGAGTGCGCGGAACAATGACACCCCAACGCTCATCCCCTTGACTCTACATTTAACCACGTAACACATGTAATTAACCCGAACCTAACCCATCACCGTAAGCCATCAATTATCCCCAACGCCCTAAACTTCATTCTAACTGCTAGCACGAACCTGTAATCCTCAACACACAATTCCCATCTAAACCCTAATCCTATCCCATAGCCCGAACCGTGACCCGACGCCCAAACCCCTGTTCCCCTATCCCTCTATCCCCCTAATAACCCTACCCCCCTTGTCCCCTCGAGTCCCCCTATCCCCCTGTCCCCATGTCCCTCCCTCCCCGCGCGCGTGCAAAATGAGAGCGCGTGGTTCCGTGAGCCTCCAGCTGGTCATCGTCTAACCCTGTGCCACTGCCCCCGCACCCCCCCCCCCGCATCCCCCCCCCGTGCCCTCCCCGTGCCCCCCCCCCTCCCCGCTCGCGTGCAGGATGAGAGCGCGTGGTTCCGTGAGCAGAGCCTCCAGCTGGGCGACGCGTTCCTGCTCGTCTTCTCGGTGACGGAGCGCTCGTCGCTGGACCGCGCCGCCGAGCTCGGCTCGCTGGTGCGGCGCGCGCGTCCGCACCCCCGCACCGCCGCCCTCATCCTCGTGGGCAACAAGAGCGACCTGGCGCGCTCGCGGGAGGTCTCCGTCGAAGGTGGGCAGCTTTGGGGGGGGGATTGGGGTCTCTTTTTTTTTTTCGAAGTCGGAGCTTCAAGTGCCGCCCTTGCCACGCGTTTGCACGGCCGGGGAGAGTCATCTTGTCCAACACCATGTGAGACTAGGCTCTAAGGAAAGCTGTCTCGGGTGTGGACCAATCAACTTCAAGGACAGTGCATACATTATCAGAGTTATGTTTTTTGTTTGCATTATGACTGCAGGTATTGTGGTCTATGTAAACATGACTCCTTGTAGAAAAAGGCGTCAGTTTTGTTGCCAGATAGAAGGGTAAAAAACCAATTAACAGAATATACAATTGGCGACATTTCTGCCTATGAAGTCCTTCTGAACTGACAGATTGCTGAATTGACGAAGAGTTTATCAACTGACAGATTGACAAGCGAATGCATGAATGGATTTGCGAGTAATCCCAACGGCTGCACGGACGCCAGGATGACACGGAGAGCCCCGCTGAACGATTTCCCGTTGAATTCCGCTCCACTTCGCCGGCACTAACCCCCACTCCCAGCCCCGCCCCCCGCCCCCACCCCGACACCCGCCCCCACCCCGACCCCCACCCCCACTCTCATCCCCGCCCCCACACCCACCGCCGTCCCCGTTGAGATGATTTCGCTGCTATAAATATCGTAATAAGAAGCCACGCTGTTGAGCTATCATCATTATGTGGTGGCCCAGGTCGCTTCTGCACTATAAGTTGTTAATACGTCAGTGGGGCTTTGCCTGGTAGGATCTGGATGGTTTCGCTTTGCGTTTGGGCGATTTGTTCACCTTTCTTCGACTTTGCACACCAAATAGTTTTTGTGTCACTGTTTGTCGTTGCGACGTTCTTACCCGCCCCAACATCTGTGAAAGAGCTTTACAGCACATCGGATTCCTTCCGCGCTATAAATCAACATTCCGATCCCCCCCCCCCCCGCCGCCCCCCCCCGCTCCACACCACCAGAGGGCCGAGCCGTGGCGCTGCTGCTCGACTGCAAATTCATCGAGACGTCGGTGCCGCTCCACCACAACGCCGACGAGCTGCTGCACGGCGCCGTGCGCCAGGTTCGCCTGCGCCGCAGCGGCACCCGCGGCGGCGGCGGCTCCGCCGGTGCCGCCGAGGCGGCGGCCTCTGGCGGGGCCCGGGACGGCGACGCGTCCGGAGCGGCGGGCGCCCGGAGGCCCAGCCTGGGCGAGCGGGCGCGCAGGCTGCTCGGCCGCTTCGGGAGGCTGTCGTCGGTGAGAGCCAAGTCCAAGTCGTGCCACGACCTCTCCGTGCCGTGAGGGGCGGCGGGAGGCGGGCAGGCGGGGACGCGGGCCTTCACGCGCACGCGGGGACGCGCGTGTGGACGCGCCACGGACGCCAGCATGGGGGATGCGTGTGCGCGCACGTGGACGCGCTTGGAAAATGCGGGAGACACGCGGGGACACGCGGAGATGCAGGGAGACACTTTGGGGAAACACAACACACGGTGGGGGGGGGGCGGGGGGGACACGTCGGGACAAACATTCGCACATGCACACACATCTTGGGGGGGGGGGGGGGGCAGGTGGGGTGCTCGCGTGCGCAATGAGCACCAAGGTCCCCCCCCCCACATATCGGGGCCTGCGCCGTTTGCGAGCACTCACCGAGGCCCGGCGCTTGACGGGGCGCTCGGCGTGGGATGGTGCCGCGTTCGTTCCACTGTAGTTGTTCGTCTCGCTCGGCGCCGACGCTTGCGCGCCAGCCGCTCGCTTTGGGCTCCGTCAACTTTGGGGAGACGCCCAAGGCCCACGTCGCCCCCCACCGATGTTAGCCACAGCCAGGAAATAAACTCAGGTCATGAACCACTGTGACCCCCCACCTTCCCCCCCTCCCCCCCCCCACCATTACAAATGCTCATTGCATACAAATGCACGGCAATGAGGCACCACGCGCGCGCACGCACGATTATCAGAATATTTTTAACGCCCGTTAAAAAAAAGACAATGTATCTCATTGCGATGAAAGTTAATAGATATACACTGCATGTGGATTTTATTTACGTCGGATTATTTTCTACGTTATTTTTTATAAGAACCACACAAGAGGTATTGGTGTTCTAATTTCAAAGCTTTTAAATTTATATGTTTTCAGTGAATAAAAAATAATAATGAACACTGTAGATTATTGAGTGGCCCTTTGGGTCCCAATAGCCTGCTTGGATGTGAAACGCGTTTATAATTTATATGGGAAACACAAGTAGCTCGGGTTATTTTGTTTTTACATCTTTGCCTTCCGTCTCCCTGTCTGCCTCTTGAACTTGCCCAAATTGAACCCTTCTTGGTTCAAGCTGTTGCTCTTTTTGGTGAGTCCACCTTTTGTGCTGTAGGGGTGTGTGACTTCACAACAGACGGGCACCAGCGTAATAATTGTGCCCCAATCGGTGACCTTTTAAAACAAATATTTGTCTCAATTAACTATTCCACCCACCCCCCCCCCCCCCCCCAATTTTATCCTAACCGTGCTTTTTAGTGTCACGTCACGAAACAAATACACGATTTGGAACGCTTCCAGAGCAGTGCAGCCCTTCGTTTCAGAGAAGCAGTCCACGGAAGTGGATATCCCAGAGCTGCTTCTGAGCTGTCTTCGAGCGACCGCTGGGCCGCACAATAGGAGGATGCCACTTTCCCAAACGCCTTCGCGTGCGAGAGCAAAGCTCGTCGACTGGCCGGTGACCTCTTTTTGTTTGCGGGCGAGGCGTCAATGGGTCGGCGGGAAGCCGATGCGATGCACAAAAGAAAAAAAAAACTGCAGGGGTTGTTGGATCATGCAGGTATGGTGCCCGGTGAGAGGCGAGTACAGCAAGTAGGGTTTGGCATGTGAACTGGTGAAGTGGGTCGTCTAGTTTGTCGTGGTTGAACCGGGTGAGAGCTCGTTAGACCAGGATGGTCTTAGTTGCAAGAGCGACCTGGGTCGTTAGTCTGTCGTTGGGGTGGGTGGGGGGTGGTAGGTGTGTAATCCCAAATGAGTTAAGGTGCGGTAACAATTTTCGAATTTGGCTTTCATGTGGACGATGACGTTGGCTCGTGGCGCGACTGGTCCACTCTCGTCGGCGGATTTCTTTAGCGGACACTGTGAAGAAGACTGCGAGTGGTGGCGTCTCATCGTTGATGACAAACCGCGGTAGTGATCCGGTTGATAATAGAGGTTTGTTTTGGGTTAGATCGCGTAAATATATAAAAGTGTCGTTAAACCCACCACCACCCGACACAGCCAACTAGTAAGGGTTGTCACGTAAACAGAACGTGGCCAATTCGTTACTAGTACAGCAACACCGGTGTGTTGGAGGGCCAGGCCACAACATTTGCAATCTGAGTACGACGTTTCGCCAGTAATTACAACTAGCTTCATCAGGCGACAGCCAGATTTGTGGAGAAATCCACCTGTTTCGTTCCTAATATAGAGGCGTAGATGTGGTGACCACACTTCTGCGCTCTTGCACACATTGGGAGGGGCACGTTCTGTTTACGTGACAACCCTTACTAGTTGGCTGTGTCGGGTGGTGGCGGGTTTAACGACACATTTATATATTTACGCGATCTAACCCAAACACAAACCTCTATTATGGATGCTATTGGTCGCGAAAGCCTACTACGTGTTAAACTAATCCGGTTGAGTGGGCGTCACGGTGGCTAGGAAATGTGAACTACCTCGCCTGGTATACAGGAGGTTGTGGGTTCAAACCCGACCCTGACGCCTACTGCTGTATAATTGGAGTTTGCGTGTCCTTTTTCCCCCGTGGTCGCGTGGATTTTTCTCCAGGTGCTCCAGTTTTTCCCTCCACATTTTAGAATCGACGTCGCGAGTGTAGAGTATGTTCCTGCTATACATTTCCACGTGATAAGCCACTTCGTTGGACTATCGTTTGTGGCCAGGTCGCTTCTGAAAAAGCGATAGATAGCTCAGTGGGCCTTGCCTGGTAACAGACAAAAAATGTTCTCTAGTTTTAAAAATAGAGCTATAATTTGTGGCCAGACCGCTACTGAAAGAAAAGAGCTTTCTAGCTCAATGGGCCATTGTAAAATAAAAAAAGAGTTAAGTTTAGAGTCTCATGCACTGTATATGTGGAGTTACTCTGGTCATTCTGATTTCCTACTGCACAAAAAAAATACAATTAAAAAAATAATTGGCTACGCACACCAAAACAGGACCCTCTTGAAACTGAGTCTCAAGACCCGGGCGTTGTCGTATAATTAGCGGAATGCGAATTATTTTCGATTTAAACAAAAACGTCATACGTTTTTAGCCGTTGGAATTGGACGGATTTGGGAAACCAGGTGGGTGTGCGGCGGCCACGAAAAGGGTGGAAATTACAGCCCACGGATAGGAGAGCTTAAAAAAAACTGCGCAGACTTTGCGCAAAACCCAAGATTACCGCGTGCAATTATCTGTCGTGCGTGTTGAGTCTGGTCTGTGCGTCATTGGAGGTTGTGAAGCCCCGTGTATTTTCCGGGCGAAAAATAGATCGCCTGCTTGTTTGGTGTGACATCACCAACATCCTCTGCCCCCCCCCCCTCCTCCCCCCATCCTCTGTCTGCATCTAATCCACCTTGGGATAATAAAAAAAAACTAACCTCAAGATTCAAATGTTGATTTCTCTCAAACTGAATCCATCGTGCTTTTTAAATCAAAAATTTCGAAATTTCCATGCCCGGGGCTCGTTATGCCATCCATCCAAGTTGTCGTCGGCCTGTAACTTGCTGGTCCACTTTTTGTTCCATTTTCTCCTACTTTTATGAAGCTCCTTGTCCACTATTGGCCTCCGAATTTGTACGATTTCATCTCCGCCATCCCTTTCCGCTGTCCGCCCCTCCGCCGCTTAGTTTATTTTTTTCTCCCCCTTCCCCACTCCGTAAAGTGAATTCTGAGAATTCCTCTCCGGCCGACGCTTTTCCCGCGACGCGCACCGCTCACGTCCCCGTGGGTTTCCTTCGCTCCACCAACGGCATCGTCGCTGGCGACCACGATCCTTCATCGCGTTCTCAGCGCCTTTGCCTTCACGGGTCATCCGTATAAGCCGAGGGTTGATGATGCTCGCGACGGATGCTTTTCACCCTTTTTGACGATCTTTTGGTGTCCCTCGTTGAGAGTCCTTCCAAAAGCAGAGGGCTGTAAAAGAGGTCTTCTTGGGGACCCACGGGATTGAGGACTTAATGTGGACGCACGGCAGAGGGTCCCCACTTCTCATCACCGTGACGAGATGTTAACTACCTCGCCTTAGTATACAGGATGGTTGTGGGTTCGAGTCCAACCCTGACGCCTGCTGCTGTATATTTGGAGTCTGCACGTTCTCCCCGTGGTCGCGTGGATTTTTTTCCGGGTCCTCCGTTTTGGCTGTTTAAAAAAAAAATGTCCGCACCATCGGCCACTTCCTTATCATTTGTGACCAGGGCACTTCTGAAAAAGAGCTACTTAGCTCAGCGGGACTTCATTGGTAAAATAAAAAAAATTTCATAGAACACTTGACGATCCCTGCTTGCGAGTATTTCCGTGCTGTCAACATGGTTATTTTATGAAAGTAAAAAATAACTAAAGTAGACGTCAAATGACATTTTAAGTCCTTGCTATCAGCAAAACACTCCCGAGTCATTTGTGATGAGTTTAGTTTTTTACTTTACTCGTGAAAACATTTGGACGAATGTCCCTCCACTGCACTCGACATATGTAGACTTCTCTTAGAAAAAAATGTGCGTAATTATTAATTGTTATTTGTTTGAATATACAGCATCTCGTGGTATTGTCTTTGTTGTTGTTGTTAAAAGTTCGTGGCCCTGTTCAGGCTTTGCCTGCAAAGAAAAATGGCCACGGCTGGAGCTGTTTCCTGTGAACTCGTCGCTGTCTCATTCGCCTCGCGTCTCTGTGGCGTCCGCAGCCGTGTGAAGAATTCGTGTACAAAGTTTTTACTTTTTAGTCTAGGGACGTGGGAAAAGGGGGGGGGGGGGGGTGCCGGAGGAAACCTCCTCCCTTATTTCTTACTTACTTAGGGGGGGCCGCAAGTGAGACCGGGGAAAACCTTTGGCGGGTAACCGCACCCTCACCTAGCACCCGCATGCCCCTCGTGTCACTGAGAGAGAAGCCCGCGCAGTGACAACGAGGGCCTTGAAATAAGAGCGGCGTTGCACGGTTCCCACCACCTTCTGTGCCCTCTAGCATCCTGATGTCGTGTGGCCAAGATTGCTCGCAGCGATGGATAAACACATTCCTGCGGAGGGAGCTGGTAGGAACGTTGAGTTGCTCGGTCAATGGCCAGGGTCAAGGGCGGCGTGGTGTATTCCGCAAATATGCCCGACTGCAGAGGTGTGGACTCGAGTCATGTGACTTGGACTCGAGTCAGACTCGAGTCATGAATTTGATGACTTCAGACTCGACTTGGACTTGCATAACAATGACTTTGTCCCACCTCTGAGCTGGTGTGGACTCGAGTCATGTGACTTGGACTCGAGTCAGACTCGAGTCATGAATTTGATGACTTCAGACTCGACTTGGACTTGCATAACAATGACTTTGTCCCACCTCTGAGCTGGTGTGGACTCGAGTCATGTGACTTGGACTCGAGTCAGACTCGAGTCATGAATTTGATGACTTCAGACTCGACTTGGACTTGCATAACAATGACTTTGTCCCACCTCTGCCCGACTGTGAGGGCGGCCCCTACCCACCCAGCCCCTCCCCACCCCACCCATCCCCTCCCCACCCTCCCCTCACCACCCAGCTCCACTATCCCCACCACAGCACCATCTTCCCCACCCTCTTCTCCCCACCCAGCCCCTCCCTCCCCACCCAGCCCCTCCCTGCACGACGGACGGACACAATAATCCCCTGTAGGCTGGTGTAACCAGGAGGTTCCTACCAGTACAATGTATTTTTGCGAAGGTCGTCTTTGAGGTGGTAGGACACAGGCCATCGGTGCCCCGACCCCCCCCCTCCCCCGGTCTAAGTATGTGTCTATATTTCTAACGCGTAACTTTGTTTTTGCTGTTGCTGTTTAAAAGCCTTATTTAACTAACGCACACACACACAAACATTCATCGCAAAAAGTTCAGCGATTGATTAACTTTAAAGCAGAAACACGGTGCGTTTTTTTAGTGGATTGAGGGGGAGGGGGAGGCGTTTGACCTTTTCGAAACGGTGTGCCAAACGGCGGCTCTACATTTCTGCAACGTGATTTGGCGCGTGTGCGCGTACGTGCGGTATCGACAAGGCGATGCGTCCAGTGGGTTGCGTGGTGAATGTTGTTACTGCTTACTACTGCGTGGGGGGTGGGAGTGGACTGCTTTCGTGGCCAAAAACTTAATTTTTGTTCCCCGAGAGAAGCTCTCTCCGGGTTTGGAGGCAAGCGCCTGGCGTCGAAACGGCGAAAATCGCTTGCCAAGGTTTTTAAAAAAATATATATATATATAACGTTTTACCCGTCCGTTAATTGTTTCTGTCTGTGTATTTACGTCGAACTTATTCTTTCGCGTCCATGCGTAAGGCAACAGTGGCTAATCGGAGGTGCCGGCGAGGGAGGTTGGCGGCGAGGGAGAGGGGACACAACGAACTAACACACAACAACAAAACATCACATTTTGATTTAAAGCTTTCGTGACTGCAGGGATTCATATTCTTGGTTCTTTCGGTAAATACAAATATTAAATAACAAAAAATTCTCACGACGTTTCGACTGCAACACAAGCAATCATCATCAGGTGTGAAATTCACAGCAAGAATTTTTATTGTTTTTTATTTGTATTATTTTATTATTTCCCTTCTACGTGACTTTACCGAAAGAACCAAGAATAACAAAACATCATTTCAGAAGAAAGTTGAGCGCTTGCTTTTTAAGCGTCGCAATTGTTGTTGTTGTTGTTGACGTGCTGGACAGCGCTGGACGTCGGGCCTGACAATCAAAACTAATCTGGCTGTCGCCTGATGAAGCTAGTTGTAATTCCTGGCGACACGTCGTACTCGGATTTAAAATGTTGTGGCTTGGTTCTCCAACACACCAGTGTGCTGTACTAGTATACTACACTATACACTACACTATACACTACACACTAGTGCTGTACTAGTGACGAATTGGCCACGTTCTGTTTACGTGACAACCCTTACTCATTGGCTGTGTCGGGTGGTGGCGGGTTTAACGACACATTTATATATTTACGCGATCTAACCCAAACACAAACCTAATATTATGGAAAAACAATTATATTTCTCGTCTGCCCTCCCCAACGCGCCGAGTTTTCATTTGTGGCCGATCGCACCCGACGTTTACATCCAGATGGAAAATATTGGCCCGGCGTTTAAAAAGACCGGCTGGGATGTGGGCAGCAGTGGTTGATGGTGGGGGGGGCCGCGAGAGTTAGATTTCGAGAAACCTTGGCGTAAAAAATGTTGTCCTTCAGAATTGCAACCTCTAAATGGGCTTTAAATCATCCATTTATTGAAGGGGGGGGGGGGACGGGTGGGTAGTGGTGGGGCTACGGTGGTGGAATATTCCATATTTGTTTTGTTCAAAAGAGGGACATTAAAATTTTTTATTTCTTAGAACTATAAGCAAGTGGGGGGTGGGGGGGGGGAGTTGCCGGTCATCTCTGATTTGAGTGCTCGTTTCGATTGAATGCGGGGTTTTTCCCCTCCCCACACACACTGATTTTGTTTCCAAAGCGAATGTCTGCGTTATCGTAGTTTTTAGAATGCACTGGTGGTGGGATCGTTGATGGATGCCGTGGGGTGGGGTGACGTTCACGTAATTTGCCCCATGCTTAATGGTGGCGGTTGCTACACGCTAAACGTACGGCGCAGACGCGTGAAAATTATTGCTTTGAAATACGCTTCTCAAATTGAGAGATTTTTTTTGTCTAGGAAGATCCCTCCCCCCCCCCCGCCGCCCGCACCTCTCCTATAATTTTTTACTTGCAGTATATATATAAAATATTTACTGTATATGCTGTGCTGTGCCGTATTTGTATAGATGTAAAATAACGTGGGGGTTGTTTGTGACGGTTCAACTGAACCATTTGTTAAAAGAATGGACGATGGGAATATTGATGATGATGATGATGTGCAATTTCTAAAACAAAAAAACCCCGATATATTTATAATATGCATTAAGTTTCTTTTTCTTTGAAAAAAAATGTTAATAAAAACAAAAAATATTTGAAGAAACGCACGTGTGTTTTTTCTTTTGTGTGCTTTTGTGCGATTTCATTCAATGCGATTTGACATTTGACTAAATTATCAAGAAGTTGTTTTATTTCCTCTTAACCCCCCGAGCTTGACCACCCCCTACCCCTCCTCGTCCACCCCTAGCCCCATTCGCATCTCCCCCCCCCCCACCCGGTGCCCCCCCCGCCCCCCACTGACCTCGGCCGTGACTCACACAAAGGGGTTGAGTGGTGGTGCTGCAGTCGGCGCGCCGCGCTATGATCCCAGGTGACCCGAGTTTGGATTTCCCAAGTCCACTTCGAGCATCAGGCGGCGAGTGATAGCCGAAACGGTCCTGAGTCCCCTCCTTGACAGGCCCCATTGACCAGCATGGTGAAGTATGGTCAAACATTATTTGAAGCTTTCGTGACTGCAGGGATTCATCTTCTTGGTTCTTTCGGTAAAGTCACGTAGAAGGGAAATAATAAAATAATAAAAATAAAACATAATAAAATAATTCTCACGACGCTGTCTCCCCGACAGACCTGGTCTTCACCTGAGGACGGCTGCTTGCATTGTGGCCGAAACGTCGTGAGAATTATTTTATTATGTTTTATTTTTATTATTTTATTACTTCCCTTCTACGTGACTTTACCGAAAGAACCAAGAAGATGAATCCATCACCTGTTGACGGAAGCTTGTGTTGCGCCCGAGACGTCGTGATTTATTTGTATTTTATTTTATACCTATGTGACTTTACCGAAAGAACCAAAGAGTATGTATGGTCAAACAATTGTCCCATGCCAGGCGATACATTATTATTATTGTTACATTTTCCAACCTTAGGGTTTTTATTTCTTACCAATGTCTACTCCGCGCTCGGAGAAAACCCACAACACCTCCTGTTTAACCCCGTGCCGGACGTTGATGAAAGTGGTGTAAAGTCTGGGGCAATAGAGCTGGGATAAGTAGATTTAAATGTGCGATCTACATTTTGTGGTCGGTTACTTGGGCCCCTTTTAAAAGTGGTGGCCACCCCAGCATCGTGGCTCGCGAAGGTGGGAAACCCCCTGCAGGCCACGCCCAGCGTGAAGCGATGGATGATGCCGATGACGTCACCAAGCCCTATCCATCACCTCCCGTCCAGCGGCGCACGTGGAAGTAAAGATCAGACTTCGATGTAAAGCTTTCGTGACTGCAAGGATTCATCTTCTTGGTTCTTTCGGTAAAGTCACGTAGAATGGAAATAATAATAATAATAATAAAATAAAACATTATCAAATAATTCTCACGACGTTTCGGCCACAACGCAAGCAGCCGTCCTCAGGTGAAGAACAGGTCTGTCGGGGAGACAGCGTGACTTTACCGAAAGAACCAAGAAGAAGAAAGATCAGACTTTTTTACCGTCAATATTTTCGGGTTTATACGATTCGTTGATCAATCGAACAGTAGATAATAATATCGATAACAATAATAAGACATTTATTACGCGCACGATATTTCACGGATATAAAATATCGTGACTTCTGTGGCGCAGAGGCAGGCGACCAGAGGTCGTGGTCTATCAGTGTCTCTTCAAAAGTCTGCGTCGAACTGTGGAGGTGGGATTAGTACTCGTAGTTCTTTCGGTAAAGTCACCATGTAGGTAAAAAATGAAATTAATAAAATTAAACAATAAAAATTACGACGTTTCGGAGGCAACACAAGTCTCCGTCATCAGGTGGGACCGTCACAGCCAGATTTGCTGCATCAAGTGAGGCAATGATTCAAGATGTGATCCCTTAAAAGCGAGTTGAGGGGGGAGGAGAGGGGGGAGCTCATCAGAATGTGGTAGCCAATGAATGGAACGTATCGGGAGGGAGGGGGGCGGGGCTAAAAGAAGGCACGAAGTGGTACACGAGAGTCGGCGACGTGGACGTTTCACACTTAGGGTGGCAGGGACGGTCCCTGGTTCTTTTTTTTATCAATCTTTGGTAGAGTAACCAATAACTTGGTTGAACACGTAGTAAGCTTTCGCTACCAATAATGATATATATGATGGAGATGTTTTTGGATTAGATTGCGTAAATATTCATTTTTCGGGTTCATCACGTAAACAAATACGTGCCGATTTCGATTTAAAGCTTTCGTGACTGCAGGGATTCATATCCTTGATTCTTTCGGTAAAGTCACGTAGAAGGGAAATGATAAAAAAAAATCTAACGACGTTTCGATTGCAACACAAGCAATCGTCATCAGGTGTGAAAACCACAGCAAGAAAATGTTCTAAATTTCTTGCTGTGGTTTTCACACCTGATGATGATGATGATTTTTCTAATTTGAAAATGTTCTTGCTGTGGTTTTCACACCTGATGATGATTGCTTGTGTTGCAATCGAAACGTCGTGAGAATTTAATAGTTTTATTTTTATTATTTTATTATTTCCCTTCTACGTGACTTTACCGAAAGAACCAAGAATATACATGCCAATTTGTTCCTAGTACAGCGCACCGGTGTGTTGGAGAGTAAATCCACAACGTGTACAATTCGAGTACGACGTTTTCGCCCGTAATTACAACCATCCTCATTAGTCGACAGCCAAAATTGTGGAGAAAAATCCTCCGGTTTTGCTCTTAAATCAATAACTTAATTAATTGCATCTCCCACGTCTTTGAGGAATAAAACAGTGAAGGTGGAAACCGGTACACTTAGCTCAAATGTAAATAGATGTACATAAATTGTATATTTAGTTCTAATAACCCTCGATGGGAATAGCTCCCCATGCTTCAAAGCGTTTTGTTTGTTCAAGCCATGAGATGAAAGTCGATTCGGGATATCTCGGAGACAAATACATCGGCCCTGGTTTGTGAAGAGCCCGTGGGAGGAGATTTCGACAGCACCACTTCTGAGACTCGTCCACGTGACCTCTTATCTGCACTTTCCCTCGTCGCCTGCGACAGAGATATTTGTTGCTTGGCAGTCCGAAGCGGTTTTGTTTTTCAAACATTCTCACACGTGGAATGTATCCAAATTAAGTGCGAAAAGAAATGTTAACATGATAGGGTTCACACCATTGGAACCTCATTTGCCAGTAAAAAAATATGATAATTGGTTTATTACCCTTCTATCTGGCAACAAAACTGACACGCCAAAAGGCGTCATCTGGTCCAACACCATGTGAGACTAGGCTCTAAGGAAAGCTGTCTCGGGTGTGGACCAATCAACTTCAAGGACAGTGCATACATTATCAGAGTTATGTTTTTTGTTTGCATTATGACAGCAGGTATTGTGGTCTATGCAAACATGACTCCTTGTAAAAAAAAGTGTCAGTTTTGTTGCCAGATAGACGGGTAAAAAAACAATTATCATGATAGGGTTCATTTACTTTTCTGTGCAGTCATTGGTGATAAGGCTGAAACCATAATGAACTCGCGACTTTTGAGAATCCGGATTTAATCAAGGGGTGGCTGTAATCTTGAACTGGAACCACGCGTTCTCAGCGTTGCTCAGTCCTCGTGAGCAAACCCAGCCCACATCCACACACACACGCGCCACATCATCGTGATGAAAAGACAATCAATGAACTCCTTGAATCAGGCGACCAGGCACAACAACAACAAGGCTTTTGTGCGCATGTCGTTGAACTGCAGTTCAACACGCAAGGCTTTGGCGACCAATGATATCCGTAATGCTTCGTTCCGTCGTTGAACTTCTTTCGCACCGTACGTAGCCGACCGCGCTCATCGGAGGTGCGGGTTTGACCTGCGTTTGAATGTTCCACTTCGTAGGTAGGTGGTGGGGGGAGGGGGGTAGAAAAACCCTGAGATCGGGGTACAAAAAAACACCCCATCGAAACGTAAAGTTCACTCGAGAGAGGTCTTCAGACGCGGCGGGCGAAACATTCCGGGCCGCGAGTAGAGCGGCTCGCAAGGTGCCCATCGAGGCAGACGTGCTGCGCAGACAGAAAGGTAGGCACGTGCAGAATCGCGTGCACCCAGCCGCCTTTGTCTCCCCCGTCGTACGTGGCTGAGTGCCGAGTCGAGACGAACGCGGGCAGGGCCAGGCGAGGAGCCGAGATCGGTTCACGGCCGACGACGTTGACGAGGCCGCGAATTCCCCGCGGGGGTCGCGCCACGCACGGCCACCCGCTCTCGTCCGTCGCAGGCGCCGTCAGCGGCAGCGGCGGAGCGACGAACGCGCGTGGACCTCTTGGCGACAGCTCCTCTCTCTCCCTCCTCCTCTCTCTCTCTCTAAAGCTGCTGCTGCCAATGCACCCGAGTCTCGAGCGGTTTGTTCGATCAACGGATCATGGGGGGGGGGGGGGGGATCACGGGGGGGGGGTCACGGGGGGGGTCACGGGGGGGGGGGTATCGCGAGGGGGCACGGGGGGGATCACGGTGGGGGATCAAGGGGAGGCACGGGGGAGTCACGGGGGGGGGTCACGGGGGGGATCACGGGGGGGGGGGGGTCACGGTGGGAGGATCACGGGGGGGGGGGCACGGGGGGGGGCACGGGGGGGGGAGGGACACGGGGGGGAGGGACACGGGGGTTATCACGGGGGAGCGGATCACGGTGGGGGGATCACGGGGGGGGGGGGGGGACACGGGGGGGGGATCACGGGGGGGAGAGACACGGGGGTTATCACGGGGGGGGGGGGGGTCGCAGTCGACTTCGAACGCCGACCGCCAACTGAAGTGCGCCATAGGAACGTGGAATTTCCACGGAGCCGAGCGGCGCGTCTCGCTGGCACGGCTCGTGGAGCGAGGAGCCGCGCACGGCGAGGAGGCGGGGACGCGTGGACGCGAGAAATCGCGCGGCGAGGCGCCGAGACGACCCGAGTGACACTTCACTGCTACCGGCGGCGCCACTGAAGCCACCAACAATTATCGATTATCGTCTTGTTGCTGCTGCTGGGGGGGTGGGTGCAGAGGAGCGGTGGCGCAGTGGTTAGCGCACCGCA